TATGGAGAACGACATGTCCAACATAAAACAGCTTTTGATTGGAAATGGTTATCCTGAAAAGCTACTAGATAATATTATCAATAGAAAGGAGCATAAGGGAAAACAAGAAATTGAGAAATCCTGATTATCCACGATAGCCATCCCATATCGAAAGGACACAGCTGAACAAATTCAAAGACTGTTCGCCTCATATAATATTAAAGTCTACGTCAAACCTTCTAATTCTCTGGAGAAAGCGCTGGTGTATGTCAAAGATATAGTTCCCAGAATGTCACAAAGTAATTGTGTCTACAAGATAGTGTTTAGAATGTGATGCATGCTATATAGGGGAGAGCAGTAGGCAGGTGAAAGTCAGAGTGAATGAACATAGACTATGCACGAAACGTCCACCTAGAAATGAAGTAGAACTTAAAAAGTCTAGAAAAAAGATCGGCTATAGCAATGCATGCGATAGACAGCGGACATAAGATTGATTTCGACAATGTTGAAATTCTTGGAAGAGGATTTCATTCACATAAAGAAAGATTGACTTCTGAAGCCTTGCACATTTTAACCACATCGAATGCAGTGAATAGGAAAGAAGGGATAGACTTATCACCTATATGGGAAACTCTAATGAAGCAAGACAGATGAAAAAACACTAATTACTCTGTGAGCTTCCATAACCTTTTAAAAACATGTAGTATCTTGTTTATCACATATGAATTCACGTATTTTCCGCATGACAAATAACATACAAACACACACACACACACTCATACAAAACTAATCTGTACAGATCAACTATAGAAGAGTGAACACAACAACAGTTCGACATTAGTTATTACAAATATATTATGGATGAGTGCTCACATGTTTCTATTGGTGAAATGTCCATGGAAAAATGACCTTCAAGTAAAAAATTTTGACGATATATTTTGATGATGAATATATACCCGAATAAATGTGTTGAAGTATCTGTAGCTTGCACAGCGAAACGTTCAGAAAACAGATCTTGTTTTGATTTGGTTACCACGCTGGGATTATTTTAATTTATTTATAGTTCATCAGTCCGACTCGTCGCCGAAATTATTCCAGGAAGTTTGTAACGCCTACGGCCTGTTACCCCATAACCATTAATTTTAATTGATTAATTATAACCACTGTCGGTTTAGTGTTATGATGTTTCAGTGGTAGGCTGGTCTACTGGATCTGATATCTGTGAATTTGCACAGCAGATGTGGCTTATTGTCAGGCGCATGGATGAATATGCACTTGGTTATTATTATTATTGCTCCCTTGGGTTCCTAGTGGAACATAGGGCTTCAACTGCATGTCTCCACTTGCTTCTGTCTTCTGCTGTACTTTTCACTTGCGTCCATGTTATTCCATACTGTTTCATCTCCTCCTCACACGATCTCCTCCATGTCACCCTTGGACGTCCCACTCGCCGCTTCCCTTTCGGGTTCCACTCGAGGGCCTGACGCGCGATGTCACTCAACGGCCTCCTCAGTGAGTGTCCAATCCATCTCCACTTCCTCCTGCATATTTGTTGAGCGATTGGTTCTTGTTTTGTTTGTTCCCATAGTTTCTTGTTGATGATTCTTTCCGGCCATCTGATCTTCAGTATAGAGCGAAGACAGTTGTTGATAAAGGTCTGCAACCTGTTGGAAATATTCTTGGTGACCCGCCAAGTTTCTGATCCGTATAGCAAAACTGACTTGACGTTTGTATTGAAAATCCGAATTTTGTTGTTGATGCAGGCTGAGTGACGAAGATTTCCAGATTGGTTTCAGGTTGATGAATGTGTTTCTCGCCTTCCAGATTCTCGATTTGACATCCTCGTCCGTTCCTCCTGTGGTTGAGACAATGCTCCCTAGATAAGTGAAAGAAGTAACCTCTTTCAAATCCCTCCCGTTGATGGTGATTGGCGGTGGATGTTGCTGCTGTTGTCGTTGTTGTTGGTTGGTTATTTTCATGACCTCCGTCTTGTCTATGTTCACCTGGAGTCCTGTCTTTGCTGCTTCTTCGACCAGTTTGTCGGTTTTCGCTTGTAAGTCTTCGATTTTGTGTGACATCAAACATAAATCATCCACGCGCGAAATCCAGGTCTTCTAGGTTCTTCACGTTGGTTCAGGATATCCCTGTCTTCTCGTTTCCCACTGTCTGACGCATAATCCAGTCCACCACAATTAGGAATATCATTGGTGATAATAAGCACCCTTGTCTGACTCCTGTGTTTACTGCAAACGCTTCGCTGAGTTTTCTGTTGTGGATCACTTGACATGTGCCGTTGTCGTACAGTTGTTGAATAAGGTTGATGAATATTTGGGGTACGCCGTAGTACTCGAGTAGTTTCCAAATTACTTCACGGTCAACGCTGTCGAAGGCCTCCTCAAAGTCTATGAAGGAAGTTGAGGTAGAGGTTTGATTGCCATTCCATGCTTTGTTCGATGATGATGCGTAGAGTTGCAATTTGGTCAGAACATGATTTGCCTTTCCTGAATCCAGCTTGTTCTGGTCGGAGTTCTGTATCCAGTGCGTCCTTTATTCTCTCCAGGATGATGCGACTCAGGATTTTACTTGGCGTCGACAGGAGCATGATTCCTCGCCAGTTCTTGCGGAGTCCCAGGTCGCCCTTCTTTGGTAGTTTCACGAGGTAACCTTTCCTCCAGTCAGTAGGCACCTTTCCCTCTTTCCAGATCTTTTGCAATAATGGAGTCAGCATATCTGCCGTCGTTTCTGGGTCCGCTTTCAGTGCTTCCGGGGGTATTCCATCTGGTCCAGCTGCTTTTCCAGCTTTCATAAGCTTGATTGCATTCAAGACTTCAGCTTTTGTTGGAGGATTGGTGTCAACTTGCAGTTGTGTACGTGCTGTTGTTGGTATTACTGGACGGGTTGTAGGTGGTGGTCGATTCAAGAGTCCTTTGAAGTGGTCCGCCCATTGTTTAATCTGTCTTTCTTCTTTGGTAATTGGGTTCCCTTGGCTGTCTTTTATAGGTTTCACTTGTGTTGATCTCTTCCCGGATAGAGACTTGGTTATCTGATATAGTGTCCTCAGGTCCCTTTTGCCTGCTGCCTTCTCAGCTTCAGTGGCCAGGTTGTCGTAGAATTGTCTTTTGTCCTTCCTGGCACTCTTCTTCACTTCTTTGTCCAGTGCTGTGTAAGTTGAGCTCAGCATCTCCTTCTCTTGTCCATCTTTGCATTGAATCATTTTCTCTTTCACCTTTCTCCTCTCCTCTATTAGCTTCTAGGTGTCCGTTGAGAGCCATTCCTTGTCTTGTTTCTTCTTTCTTCCTAAAACCGTTGAGCACGTTTCGTTGAAAATTACCTTCAGAGAGTTCCAATGGTCTTCCACGGATGATTCCTCAGTGGTGCCACGTAGTGTTTCCTGCTTTGCTCTGACAGTTGCAGTGAAAGTGTCCTTTGTGGTTGTGTCTTTCAGTTTTTGCGTGTTGAACTTGCATTGTGGCTTATCCCCAGGTATCCTCGAGGCTTTCAGCTTCACCTTGAAAGTCCCTTGTACCAGATAGTGGTCTGAACCCACATCTGCTCCTCTCCTCGATCTTGTGTCCAGTAGGCTCCGTCTCCACTTCCTTGAGATTGAAATGAAGTCTATCTGGTTTTTGGTGTGTCCATCTGGTGAAATCCATGTTGCCTTGTGTATATCCCTGTGTTTGAACACACTGCCACCAATCACCAAATCATTGAAGGCGCAGAAGTCTGAGAAGTTCGCCATTTTCGTTCATTTCACCGAGGGCCTCACGACCCATGGTGAGTTCTCTTCCTGTATTGTCTCCTCCCAGTTTCGCATTCATGTCGCCCATCAGGATTTTGATATCGCTCTTTGGGACGTTGTCCATTACTGTTTGTAGTTGACTGTAGAAATCCTCCTTCTTCTCATGTTCTGAGGCGTTTGTAGGCGCGTAGCACTGAATGATTGTAACCTTTTTTCCTTTTGAGTTGAACCTGGCTGTCATTATCCTGGAGGAGATTGGTTCCCACTGCATGAGAGCTTTAGCCGCTGTTGGTGACATCATGATGGCTACTCCCTCGGTGTGCTCGTGATTGTCCTCTGGGTGACCGGAGTAGATTATTGTCTCTCCAATTGATAGTTGTCTCCTTCCACATCCGTTCCATCTGCTCTCGCAGATTCCCAACACTTCTATTTTATATCTCCTCATTTCTGCGGCTACCTGAGCAGCCTTTCCAGCTTAGTACATTGTACGAACATTCCACGTCCCCATCCTTATTTTAGCTTTCATCGAAAGAAGGCACATCGGCTGACTGGCTTCCTGAAGGCTTTTACCAGCCTGCGTCATTTCACTTGCCCGATTCCAGAGAAAAATAAGGCTGTTGTTTGTACTTTTAGAATTTTTAATATATTTATGCGTTGAAGTTTTTGTAGCAATTTGGGGGTTGGAGTTGCTAGCACCACGCCCCAACCCTCCCTCTTTATCCGGGCTTGGGACCGGCTAGAATACTAGTGACCTAGTAATCTAGGCGAGGTTATGCACTTGGTTACTTAGTGCCAATTGTGATCGTTACTATGAACGAGCCAAATTAATTTCACTTGATAGTTCAGTAGGCAAGCCAACTTTTAATTTCTGCTTGGAAATTAAGAGTGAGACTATTTTTCGACTGCTTAAAGCTAATGTGTTTTACTAACAACAAAACAGGTGCGTCGGTGGCAAAGCGGTTAGGACGCTCGCCGACTATGCAAATGGTCCAGGGTTCGATTCCCGGCCGACGCACTCCTTTACCTCGCCAAGCTAGAAATACTGGTGAAGAGGAAAGGTTGGGCATGAGGCTAGCAACCTCATCCTGTAAAATAAACACTGCTACAGAAACTTCAGGCCACTAGCTTGAAGCCCTATGTTCCACTGGGGAACGTGAAGGAAAAAAAAACAACAACAAAAAAGAGCGATAAGTAAGTCACTTTTCGGTGATTTAACTACTTCATCATTCCTAGGTGACTTTATTTGGCTGTTCCTTTTGTTTGTTCGTTCGTATTTTGTCAGCTCCTCGCTCATGTAATTTAAAGCAAAAGAAAAGAAACCTTGGCAAACCAGTGTCATCATCTACTAATCTCCACTGCATCGTTTTTTCAATTACTTCCAGTAAAGGATGCGTAGTCGTCGTCAACTCTCCTATGGCAGGAATAAGCTGTATTTTCTGCGACTTCGTAGATTCTGTCAGTTTATTTTAAATTTTGGCAAGTATGGATTTTTCGATGGATGGGTCGGAAAAGAATCCCACTCTGTCTTGAACACAGCGGGTAAGTTTCAAAAAAGTGGCTGAAGTTGGTTTGCATTTTAAGTAAATGAAGATATCATGAGCAGTTTAATATATTTTGTATATTTAGTATATTTTGGCTAACTGATTGATTGACTTTAGAACACTGAACTTTTTATAGGAATACATCAGTACTGGATTGACCTCCCCCCCCCAAATGGCGTGCTCTTGCCTGCTGCAACAAAGACACTGATGCATTCCGTAGCCATTTCTCTAAAAAATCTTTGTTTTTTCCAACACAGTAAGTTAAAGGGGCTTCTAATGTTAGGGTACTTAAAGGATATAATGGATTTGAACACCTGAATTAAAATAAGGTCAGTGCATCTATTAGCCAAAAATTCTTTCTCAAATCACTTTCAAGTAGAGTAGGATAACTGATATTTTATCTGCCTGACTGACTAACTGACTGGTTTCGACATAGAACTTTGCACAGATGTGCAGCAGTTCCAGCTGCAATACTCTCTCCATATAGCACACAAAGCAAGAGAAGGTAAAGGGAGATTCAAAAGACAGATAGCAAACAGAAGTGTGAGTGAGAGAAAAAGAACAGTAATAAGGAAAAAACAATAGTTTTATTCTCAATATGATAAGTTACAAGGAGTGAATGCATCCACAGTGTCATTGAGAACGATTTTGAGACATGCTGTATTTGTGTTGCACCTAACGGGCATCTTATTCAGATTCCCTTAATCTCACAAAAATACTACTATTCTTACGACAAATGAGAAGAGGAATAAAAACTACAAAAACTCTATTTTGAAGGTGGGTTTTTATAGTTTTTGTTCTTCTTTTCACTTGTTGTAAGAATAGTAGGATTTTTGAGAGATTAAGGGAATATGCATAAGATGCCTGTTAGGTGTAATACAAATGCAGTATACACAAGGATTTACTAATATTATTCCCCTGAGTTCCGAGTGGAACATAGAGCTTCAACAACACATCCTCTTCAGCCGGGTACACGATTGCCCATAATCTCTCATATCCTCCTCGCTGCACGACCTCCTCCACGTCACCACCGCACCAACGACCCACTCGTCGTTTCTCATTGGGGTTCCACTCGAGGACCTGGCACACGATGTCACTCGACGACCTCCTCAGTGTATTCCCCTTCCACCTCCATTTTCTTCCACATATTTTTTGACCAATTGGCTCTCACCTGTGGTTTGTTCCCAGCCAGAGTTTCTTGTTGCTAATTCTTTCTGGCTGGCCAGCCATTTGATCTTCAGTACGGAGCCAGCGAGGGCAACTGTTGATAAAAGTCAGCATCAGCCTGTTGAAAGTCGTTTTCGTGATGCACACACCAAGTTTCTGACCAGTACAGAAAAACCGACTGACTTCACATTTGTGTTGAAAGTCCGAATCTTGTTCTTTATACTAGCTGAGTGAGTGCAGCAGACTTCCAAACTGGTTTCAGGTTGATAAAGGTGTCTTGCATTTCCAATTCTGGCTAGCTTTCATATCTCCATCCGTTCCGACTCCCTGTAGTTGAAACGATACTTCGTAAATAAGTGAAGGAAGTAACGTCTATCAAATCTCTCCCATTAATGGTGATTATTGCTGGTTGCTGTTGTTGCTAGTGGTGGTTGGTTATCTTCATTACCTCCGTTCGCCTGGAGTCCTGTCTTCTCTGCCCCTACAGCCAGTTTGTTGGTTTTCACCCCCGCAAGTCTTCGAGTCTGTGTGACGTGAGATATAAATCATCCACACGCGAAATCCAAATCCAGAGTCCTATCGGTTCAACGTATTCCTGTCTTCTCCCTCTCTGTGCACAGTCTGGCGCATAATCCAGTCGACCACAATTAAGAATATCATCGGCGATAACAGGCAGGCAGCCTTGTCTTACTCCTGTATGCACTTCGAACGCCTCACTGAGTTTTCCATTGTGGAACACCTGATACGTGAAATTGTCATATAGCCAGCTGTTGATAAAGACTTGGACACTGCATGCCGTAGTGTTGAAGCAGTCTACAAATTACTTCCCAGTCAACGCTGTCTGTTGAAGGTCTTTCCGAAGTCGATGAATTTGAGGTGGGAGGGGTCTGACTGCCGGCTTGTTCTTGTCGGTGGGGCAGAGTTGTGCATCCAGCTGTTTGGCCCTGGTGTCCAGTAATCCCAGGTTTTGCAATGCTTCTCTAACTGATGTCAGTTCATGATAAAACTCTCCAACTAATAATGTTTTACTGTATCGTATTTGTGTTATGTATGCTATTGATAAGGATGTGTAAATAGTATACAGTGTGACATCTCTAGAAAAAGGCATGAACTGATGACTTATTGCCAAAATTTCAGACAAAAGGAATAGAGGAAAATGGTTATCATTATTGGAAGCACAGCCACTTCCGCTCAATATTGAAGATCAAATGGCCAGCAGGAAACGAACTGGAAACGAACTAACCAAGAACCCACCTACTCAGCAAATATCTCGAAGAATAGGGAGATGGATCGGACCAACGCTGAGGAGACCACGGATGACATCGCGCGCCAAGCTCCCGCTCGAGTGGAACCCCAATGGGAAACGATGAATTGGGCGTGTGTCCAAGGTTGGTATGAAAGAGATCGTATGATGAGGAGTTGAGAGACCATGGACAATCTCTTGGTACCAGCTAAAGAGGAGAGCAGAGAATAGGAATAAGGTGTAGATGTGTTATTGATGAAGCCGTATGTTCCACTCAGAACCCAAGGAAACAATAATAACTGGAAGTACGTTAAAGGAAAAAGAAAGCTAGAGAGTAAGGTAGCCAAAAAGTCAGACATGAGTAATCTGTGTAAAGTGGATTTGCAATATAAAGCTGATTAATACAATTCGTCTCTGTCTGTCTGTCTGGATTCAACATAGAACTTGGCACCGAAGTGCAGCAGTTCGAGTTGCCACGTTCCAAATAGCACACAAAGGTAGACAAGAAAATGAGTGAAAAGAATCAATAGAGTTTTGACAAGTATAAGAGTGAAACAGAACGAGTAATGGTAGAAAGGAATATGAAAGATTACAGAGACTGAATACATCTGCGTAAGCCATTGACAACGATTTTGAGCCATGTCACCTAGTGTCTCCAGCCATTGATTCTTAGAGTCCCGAGGGCGGGCCCCAACCCGGAAGTCTGCATCCCCCTACCTGACTTAGTTTAACTGTCAGGGATTTCATGGATTGATGGGGCCATGTTTTTGTTTGGCCACCGCCTACTCTTTTCCAACCTGCACCTATATCAGCTAGTAATGCCCGTCGGGAAAGGGAGGCGATGGTTAGGCATGCGCAGCACGTGACCTAGCCATCTCAATCTATGTAACTTTATAGCCTCGTCGATTGATTTTCCCTCTTTGCCCAACACTCTATGCCTAACGTCAACATTCCTTACCTTATTATACCACCTAACGTGAGAAAGAGATCGTAGACATCTATGATCAAAAACACAACCTTTTCATGTCTTCAACTCGTATTGGCCATGTTTCAGAGCCATAGAGAAGGACGGAGCAAACTGCTGAGCAGTACACACGTCCCTTGGTTGATAGCCGGATGTCACGCCTACGCCAGAGATGGTGTAAGTTAGCGAAAGCAGCTCGAGCTGTTTGGATCCGTGCTGAGATTTCGTCGCCAATCAGTCCGTTGGTGCTGATACAACTTCCCAAATAGGTGAAGTGGTCAACATGTTCTATCACTTCACTCCCTATCACTAAGCTAGGAGTTGATGTATTCCAGTCCTGTAGCAGCATCTTACATTTCACAGGGGCGAATCGCATTCCAAACATACGAAGATTGCTGCTCAAGGTGTTCAGAAGACTCTGCATTTTGTCAGCATCCCCCCCTAACAGGACTGTGTCGTCTGCGTATTCTAAGTCTATAAGACTATTCCCTGGTAACAAGTCGATTCCTAAGTCGTTAAGTTCAGTTAAGGATACTTCCATTAGCATATCTATGATGAAGTTAAACAGAAAAGGGGAAATTGGACATCCTTGACGGACACCACTGGTTGTTATCAATTCAGATGACAATTCCCTATAAGCCCTTACACGATTAATACAATTTGCTAATTTATTGAATCCAGTTGTTCAATAGCTTTGTAATTTCGAGTAAACTTGAAGGTTATTAATATTTCAGAGATAACTAATGCTATGAGATCGATTTTTATTACTAAGGTCATTTGTTATATACTCGCTCATGTACAATAAGCAAATCAACTTTCACACACACACACACACGTCTATTGCTCAACTAATTTCTTAGAATAAACTGAATTAACAATTTTGCCTGTGTATGTTGGTTATTTTATGTTTTGTAGAAGACTTTAGATTGCTTTATTGTGAGAAAGCACGTGTTATGTGTACTATGTGGCGTTTTTTATCAAGGCATAAGTTTAAAGAAGCAGCAAGATTGTTAACGCATTCAATTCATGCCTATCCGATGTCCCCTGCCTGGGTTTGGCGTGTAAGTTACAATGTTTCACTTTTGATAACTGCTTCTTTGTAGGTTGCATTTCATATATTTCAGTGTCTCAAGGATGATACGGGGTTAAGGTCATTTAACAGGTAAGCACATGAAGGCACATATTGATTTGAGTTGTTTGTACACATCTTTTTTATTTTTGAAATTCTATTTCTGTCATGCTTATGTCTTCGTAATCTTTATTTATTTTATTCTATTCCTTTAAGTTCCCAGTGGGAAATAGGACCTCAAGCTGGAGCTTTAAAGTTTCGGTAGCAGTGGTATTTATCTTAACGGGATGGGCTTTGCTAGCCACCTCATGCTAAACCTTCCCTCTTTATCTTAAATTCTGTTTCGAAATATGTTGTCCTAAAGAAACATTATTCATTCGCTTGACCGTTTCTCTTCTCCACATCTCAAAAAGCTACATAGAGATAAAGAACTGTTGTTCAAAACAAATGATAAGTCAGGTGTAGAAAAGTTAAATACTCTGATAAAATTCGAAATACAAAGACTAAATGTTTTATATAACCGAAGATTCTTGTCATGTAAAACCCCTTCTAGTTTGTGGAAATTTTTCAAAGAAATTACTAGCGGTAAGCGATGCACTTCTGTTCCATCTCTTAGTGTTGATACTCTAAATAAGTCTTTCATACGCTCTTCTGTCGATATCCTTCTTAATGTTACAAATCATATAGACAACAATTTTAATGGCTTTAATACCCTTGATGTGCTTAAATGTCTCCGGTCTCTTAAGCCTTCCCAAAGCCTTGGTCCTGATGGTGTACCTGTCATTGTCCTCAGGAACTGTGCTGATATTTTGTGTTACCCTCTTACTAATATTTTTAATGCTTCCTTTTCCAGTAATGTTCCACCTTTTGCATGGAAAAAAACATTGAAATTATCCCCATACCAAAACCATCTTCTGATAATGATATTAAATTCAGGCCTATTGCAATTACTTCTCCTTTTTTAAAATTGATGAAAAAATTACTTTCACTTCGTCTTGAACCTTCATTGAAACCTTCTAATGATCCTAAACAATTTGCATATAAACATGGTAGATGTACCTTGGATGCTGCGGTTGTCTTATATCATAATGTTGTTTCTTGTTTAATATTGCAAAAATGTTCATTCAGACATCTATGAAAACAAAATAATCGAGCGCTTCGCCGAGCCTTGCGTTATACTTCAAATACTCGTTGAGTACTTTTAACGCAAAATGATGCTCAGAAGATTTCAATATTGCAAAAATGTTCATTCAGACATCTATGAAAACAAAATAATCGAGCGCTTCGCCGAGCCTTGCGTTATACTTCAAATACTCGTTGAGTACTTTTAACGCAAAATGATGCTCAGAAGATTTCAATATTGCAAAAATGAATGAATGAACATTTTTGCAATATTGAAATCTTCTGAGCATCATTTTGCGTTAAAAGTACTCAACGAGTATTTGAAGTATAACGCAAGGCTCGGCGAAGCGCTCGATTATTTTGTTTCTTGTTTAGACAAAGGTGCCAAATATGTTCGTGGTGCTTTCCTAGGCAACACATCTGCTTTTGACTGTGTACCTAGGGTTTTTTTATTAAATAAGCTTTCTTTGACGCAAACAGGATCCTGGGCTAAGAGTTGGTTGCATTCTTATTTTTCTGATAGAATTCAGTATACTGTATATAATGGCAAATCTTCTTCTGCCTCGCTTACAAAAGCCGGTGTTCCTCAAGGTGCCGTCCTCTCTCCTTTTCTTCTTTCTTTCTTCCTACATGACCTGCCTCATTTAATTCAAACTAACTTTGTCAAATATGCGGATGATCTGACTGTATCATTGCCTATCACTTCCGAGTCTGACTGCTCCAAACTTAATAGCTTTCTGTTGTACATCAGCAAGTGGTCTAAGTCAAATGGTCTTATGTTAAATCCTTCCATATGTCAGGCAGTTAACTTTACTTTCAAGCATCGACATGAACTAGTTAGTTCCCATGATGCCTGTAGCATAGATGGCACTGAAATTGAAACCAAGTCAAGCATTAAATACCTTGGATTAGTTCTTTCCTCTGACCTTTCATGGTCATCTCCCATCTTATCAATCTCTAAGAGAATGTTTCGTCTTACCTTCTACATTACAAAGTTAAGACGATCAGGTATCAGACAACCTTTACTTCTGCAGTTTGTAAACTGTATTTTACCTATTGTACTCTATTGCTTCTCAAAAAAGACTATATCATATTACGAAGGTTATTAAATGTTATGAGTAGGGCTTGTGGTATGCCACTGATTGAGCTCGCCAATATTATAGTCGAGAGACATAAAATCCTGTACAAAATGGGCAGAGGACTGCCAACCCCGCTGCACACCCTTTATTCACAACTACCCCCTTGCAACTCATCAGGTAGGATGAGAAGTCAATATAAGAATTTATATGCTCGCACCACTAAGTACAAACATTCTACAATACCCTATTTAGCCCGTTGTTTATGTGATGGAGACACTGTTAGACGTGAAACATATAAGTTACTATGTAATTAGCAAAGTAAATCGACCCTTTCATCAGCCGTCTTTCTGTAATTTTGTGGTGTTACCCTTTCTATCGTTTAATTATAACTTAGCTATTTTATTTTAGTTGTTATTACTATTATTACTACAATTTTGTACTTTATGCATATTTTTCTCCTTATCGCATACTGTAATTGCTACATAGCTGCTATAACAACGTTTTGTTATTATTATTATTATTATGTAATGTTTATTTTTTGTCGTTTTGAGTAAATTAGATACAATATTATACTGAATGCTGAAAATTCCTTGCTGTATCATTCGTACTGTTTTTGGAATAAAGCAAAAATTATTATTATTATTATTATTATCAATACCAGTCTTATTACTGGCTTAGTGAGTTAAAGGAGTGCGTCTGCCGGCGATGGAACTGCAGACCATGTGAGGTGTGGTTGGTGAGCATTCTATCGCTGAACAAAACCGATACACACTTTTCTACGTGGTGGTATTTTCCTCATTTCTGATGCATTCTAATGCATTACTTAGATCATAATAGGATGTGGTTTGGATCATTGAGTTCTTGTTTAGTTTAGTTTCCAGATATCTTCATGAACTATCTATCGGCTTACTTCTAAAGCTTTTTATTTTTTTCTCTTACTTTATTCGCAGGATTTTGGATATGTTTCTATTAAGTGATGAAAACAATCGTATGCTAGAATATACTCTGTATGAGATGAGCAAAGGAAATCTCGGAAATGTTCAGTTTTGCCGAGCTAACAAACAGGTATGTTGTATAATATAATTAGGCTGCGCTGGCTGTATTTGAAGTGTTGTTGCACATCTCGTGCAGGTGGATGGCTTCTTTCACCTTCACCCATTTCTAGTCGCAGAACTTGCTGTAAGAAGCAGTCATAGGCAGTCTGTCGAAGACTGGGTGTCATAAAGTGAAGAGTGGTTATGGGAATTGTTTACTGTTTTGTTTTTTGGGCTTCATGCTTAATTATGATAGTTTTTCACCAGGTTTGTTGTCATCTTTCGGTTTTTGCTCAAGAAATTTAGTGCTAAAGATGTCACTTTGCGTCAATGGCTTAATAGTAGGAATACTCGTCAGCCGTACACTGGAGGTCGATTCTTTGCCGATGCACACGTTAACCTCACCTAGTTTACTGGCAGATAGAAAGTGTGGGGAAAGGGGAGGAGGTTAAGTGTGAGGTTAGTAACCCGCCTTCCCCGCACCATAAGAATAACAATATGACTAATAATTCTTCGAAAAAAGTTCGAAGCCACCCTATATTCCACTTGGAACTTTCAAGAAACGATGAAAAAAATAACCCGATGTTACTAAGCCTGCTGATAAAACATGCATGACCTGACACCGGAGGACATCGGATAGTTAATGTGTAACGACGGAACACAAGGGCCAGACAACAGATTGTTTATTTTAAAAAAATCAAGAGTTATTTATGGATTTTTATGTACATTAATGTTATCGGAGAAACAACGTCTTCTAATTGGTAGTTTTCTTGCTGATGGTTATTCTGTTATCTCTCTGTGGTCGTTTCTCAGAAAATCATGCCTTATATCTGCGAATCATATTTCCACACGTTAACTCCTTTGTGATTGGTTGGTGATTTTCTGAAGGTGAAGCTTTGTTATTGTTTTTCTCATGACCCTGATTCGGGATGTGAACACTGACGTAAATTGTTGTTCACAATTTTGGTTTGTAGCCAGCTCTCTTCACAAATGCACTCACATTGGGCTACAAATCTTTTTCGTTATATTTCAAGAGTCGTTGTGCTGGGTTAGTATTTGCGGATACATCACAATTCTGTGTAAGCAGGGTCTAGGAAACCATGAGATTCTCGTCAGAAACGTTGAATGTACGTAGTGTTAGATATTATTCTTTAGCCTTCGTTGTTCTACTTTGTGTGGTGTATTTCGGTGTGGTTGTGTTCTCTGAGGTGGATGGTTTATTTACGAAGCTATTGTTGCCCTACCCAGGAAACATCTTCAGTGCATACTTCAATTTGAAGTGAGCTTTTAAAATTCGCCACGAGTTTATTAATTGTCTCTCCTGGTAGCCTTGAACGTGATTGTCTGTCATTGTGTGTTTTCTTACCCTCTAGTCTGCTTGTATTGGTATTGATTGTATGCTTGACCTGAAGTTTGACTCTTTGTGTATGAGATTTTCTTCATATGGATTGATAAATCTTGTCTATGTCAGTGTGTCTATTGATTGCCTTCCAAAAATTCCCTGGCGTTCCTCTCATTTCCTTTGTCCGTGATTTGAACACAACACCAGTCGAATTTGTATCCGTAGTATACGACACCATGAAAACTGATGTTAGAAGTCAGATGGATAATTTGGATTCCAATAATACATCCATCAAAATCTACTGAAGGCACTGTTTATGTAAAACCAGCAGATGTGTTCAGTTCATGTGCAAAGATTTTCACTCCAGTTTCCCCTATCTTATAGGAAGAGGAAGAATTCTCTCCAGTTTCCACTCTATATACCATATTGCTAAAAATGCTTCTGGAGAGATATTTTGAACTTGGTCAGTGAAATCTCTTGTGATGTTCTACTCTTATCAAAGAACTTTGAAGATTTATGTTATCTTACCCAATTGTCATGATTTGGATCTATTCAGCATTGATTCGACTGATCAGCCATACTATTGGGAAATACTTTTTCGTGACATTGATTTTGGATGAAACAATGCAAAATCCTGGGTAAAATATTTGCGGGACCTGCATCAGTATTCAATATCCGCTACAAATGACCAAGGAAGAATGTTGCCACTTCCTTACTTTTGCTGGTAAAATCAACTATGCACCAAATAAGGATCCCACACTAATTCGGGAGGGGGGAAGGTATCATAGACGATGAGTACCTAGACCTACAAATATCTTCGAGTGATCCCCCAATTGAAAATCTGCTAAAAAGGGAAGTTGTTAGGACTCATGAACTGTCTTTGTTAGCTGTGAATTTATGATTGATGCATGCTGTGACATAACCGGCCTGGGCAAATTTTGATTTATTTATTTTGGGAGACCTTCTCAAGGTCATGTAGTCAATCAGATATTGATTATCTACTTATGGTTTAACTTTCGGTTGATATGTAAACGATAGATATACACTGTATTGTGAAGAATAAGCATTATTGTTGATGTTGTTGTCGCAATTGTCACAGATAAATCTGACTTCAATGTCTGCCTTAATGTGGTGGGGGGGGGGGAACATTTTCAATTGCTCAGTTGACTGTAGTGTTCTGTTCAGAGACGCACTGTTGTGAAAATAGACAACAGCTACAAATAAGTAACACTCCGTTATAACAGTGATCTCAGTGCCTACCCATATTAGGTGAAGTGTAGGCTTTCGAGTTAAAGCATACACGATAGGAGCTGATACTCTATCATTTTCGATGACAGCTCGAAATTTGATTACATCTTACTCTGATTATTTGTTAATTGTCTATTGTTGTTGTTAATCTTACGGTCAGTTTAATTATATTTCAATAGTTTACACACAATGATAAGTTTTGTTTTTGGTAATATTTCGAGCAAAATTACTGCCCATGTTCACACCACTGTCGCTATATAGAAAAACCGCACACTCTGGAAGATTCCTTGATTATCACTCAGCTCATCCAATCACGGTGAAACGAGGATTAATACAAGGTCTTGCAGATAGAATACGTAGACTTACAACAACGCCAGAGGACCAGTGTAAAGAAATAAAAGTCCTATTCAAAATGCTAATCAAAAACAACTACCCAAAAGAATTTATAAAAGATAATATAAAAAAGAGGGTAAAACCGGAGGATTACAAGATGGAAGAATGCAAAAAGACAGTCACAATACCATATAAAAATGGTACATCAGAGGCAATTCAAAGAAACCTCAAAAATATCGGCATTCACACAACCTTCAAACCGACAAATCTAATCAAAAATAAAATAAATTAACTGAAAGATCCCATAAAAATGATGGTTACAAACAATTTGATTTACAAAATATCTTGTGCTGACTGTCCGACTAAATATGTGGGGCAAACGTCCAGATCACTCAAAATAAGAGTGAATGAACATAAACGCCTAACCAAAGGTCAACCAACAGGAACACAAGCCTACAAGAATCTTGAAAAAAATTCATCGATAGCTGCATATGCATGGGAAAAAACCACAATGTCGATTGGATCAATGTGTGTATTCTAAAAACTAACATGAACAAATGGAAAGAAAGACTTATAACAGAATCGATATTCATTAAAGTCACACCGGATACATGTAACAAGGGTGACTCAGTACAACTATCAACAACTTGGAATATAATTCTGAATACAAAAACATGAATGAACGGGGAATATAGCTTCAATACAACAAAACATGAATGATCAAAAATAATGAACTATATATATGAGTACAAATCATAAATGTGTGAATCAAACAATTCCAACAGTGGTGTGAACACGGGCAGTAATTTTGGTCGAAATATTACCAATAACAAAACTTATCATTGTGTGTAAACTATTGAAATATAATTGTACTTTATTTGATCTAATCCACAATGTTCAAACTTTCTACTGATATTAATTACGGTCAGTATCTTTATTTAATTTTTTCAAGTTTTATATTCAGCGAAGAAAATTCTCTTTTCTGTGATTTCATTCTCATAGCTGCACAGTCATATATATATATATATATATATATATATATAATTTCCTTTAATTCCTAGAGGAACATAGGGCTTCAACCGAGCGTCTCCATTGCGTTCGGTTCTCCACCAAAGTTTTCACCTGGCTCCAAGTCTGCCCACACGTTTTCATGTCCTCTTCACTTGACCTCCTCCAAGTCACCCTTGCACTGACGACCAACTCGCCGCTTCCCTTTCGGGTTCCACTCGAGCAATGGCTTGTCTAGTGATGTCACTTGATGGTTTCCTCAGAGTATGGCCAATCCACCAACTGCATTTCTTCCTGTATATTTGTTGCACAGCTGCTTCTTGCTGTGTTGGTTCACTCCCAGAGATCTCTGTTGCTGATCTTTTCTGGCCGGCCATCTGATCTTGAGTAGTATTGAGCGAAGACAACTGGTAATGAAGGTCTGTAGTTTTTTTGAGATGCTCTTTATGACGCGCAGTGCAAGTCTCTGATCCATCTCTACAGTAGCACTGACTTCACATTGGAGTTGAAAATCCGGATCTTATTTTCATGCTGAGTGTTATTGACCTCCACACAGACTTGAGAGTAATGAAAGCTTGTCTTGCTTTCCCGATCCTTGCTTTGATGTCCTCGTCAGTTCCGCCTGTAGTTGAAACGATGCTTCCCATGTAGGTAAAGTAGGTTCCATCTTTCAGATTCCTCCAATTTATGCTGGCTGATTGTTGTCTGTTGGCCAAGATTCTTCATCACCTCTGTTTTCTCTATGTTTACCTGAAGTCCTATCTTCTCTGGATACTTCTTCTGCCAACTTGTTGCTTTTCACTTGCATATCTTCCAGTTTGTGGAAATCAGACAGATATCATCGTCGAAGTCCAGATCCTCCAAGTTTTTGTGTGTCCATTTTATTCCTGTTTTTTCGCTGACTGTCGCATTATCCAATCTACTGCAATCAGGAAAGTCATTGGCGATAGTATGCAGCCAGCTTGTCTTACTCCCGTCTTCACTTCGAAGGATTCCGTAAGTTTCCCGTTGTGGATTACTTGGCATGCAGAATTGTCGTACAACTGTTGGATGATATATATATATATATATATATATATATATATATATGCAAATGAATTACCATAGGCAATAACAATCAGTTTTCTTGTGTGTGTGTGTTGAAGTTTGACACTGGGTGGAAACACTAGTGCGATAATATTGGTGTATAGGATTATGAGTCACATTTCATTAGACATATAAATAAATGAGTGAAATGTTGTCAAAATAATAGACTAAATAAAATGTTAGAATATGATAACAAAGTGAAGTGAAATAAAACAAAAATGGATCATGAAATGGAGAAGGATAAAAATTTTTTTATGTGGATTATATATTAAAATCAAGACCATGATAAATAAAGAGGTCGTACAAATTGTTTTTTTGTACACAAAGTTCTGGCTTTATTTTGTGTATAGCCAAAGCTTCTACCATACAAAGAAAGTGCACTTGTATCCTTTTCGGCAAACTTTGTCGAACTATGCAGACTATGTTAAACGTTGTGTCAGATGCTGTGTGGTCAGTACTGATATGTATTCACATGATGTCTGCCTTGTTTTCACAGTCTGGTATGTTTACTATGTGTATATTGATTGTTATTCCATTATAACTCACAATATGCTTTGTCTGTCCATTAACTAAATAAACCTTTTGTCACATGACATTACAACCAATCAGAATCCAATGGTGGTAAGAAAAACTACTGTCTAACTTATTGGTTCATGTATGTTAGTCATTTTCATATATACTCTTGTATTGTACAGTTAATTCACACTCTTTCACACTTTTTCGTACTCTTAGTACCTTTCCACTCACACTCTTGTGTGACAGTTAATTTTCCCTTGTTGGAAAATACACGTATCCATTCGTGAAGGTGGTGGTGGTCTTCTGATTTCCCTCTTCGCATCAGGACAAATTAACAACTCAGCAACACCAGTCTGTACGTTATCGTCCGTTATATCTCATTAGCGCATATTTATACTCGGTCACACCATAATATCGGCTACGACACCATAACATATTGGCGACGAGTACATAACAAGTACCTATAATATGTTACAATATCGATGAATTAATACCTCTACGTTCTTTTCTCAGCCAAACTGGGAGGTGTTGTCAAATGCGGCGGGATATGTTTTTCGATGAACGTCCTATGTACCTAGGTCCGCAAGAGCAGGTCAACATATTTAAATACACATGAAATTAGACAATAGAGGTAACATTTCTTTGACATTAAGGTGCATCAGTGAACGCCTAGAATAGGTTATTCGTAAAGTGGCATTAAAGGACGTTTTTCTCAATGATCTCGTCAAATGATTTTTAAGTGCCACACTCGTATTGTCACCCCAAAATCCTAAGTTTAGGTGGAACACTTTTTTAGTTACGTTGTCAGTCTCGGTATTTCTTCTATGTAGTTTGCTGTGGGCCTTGGCGAAGCATAGTAGATACCCCGTTCTCTATGACGGTTTCTTTTAGTTGTTCGAGTTCATCATCAACACTATCTTCACTACAAATTCTCTGAACCCGTGTTGGGAGAGAACGGAGGATTAGATTCCTTTTTTTCTGTCTAAGGGGACAAAAAGTTATCCTGTCCACGTCGATTTTCTGTAAATAGATCTTTTCAAAGACCTATCAGCTCTCCTTGTGACTAGCAAATCAATATATTTTTCCCTCAGTTTCTTTTTCTAGGGTGAACCGCATTGCAGGATGACTGTCACTGAATACTGGACGTCATCTAAGTTGCAGTCCTCGTCGCATATAATGAATGTGTCATCTACCTGTCTTTTTTAGAAGTTAAACCCCCGTTATAACTCTTAATCCTATACACCAACATTAGTATTAGAATTAGAATTTTCTTCGCGGAATTCCTTGTTTTTATGTCTCAATGTAGATTATTAATTTTATTGACATATTCTTCAATGATCAAGTTTTCCTTAATGTTTATTTCATAATGTAAATTTCTGTTTTTTTTTTCAGTTTGTCCAAAAAAATAAATATGCATCCAGTTATGCAAATATAATAAGAGAGCCAGAGTTGGCTCATATTCAGCGCCTACAACGACTCTATGAAGGTTATAGTTTTTACGGTATGTGGCTGAAACAAGTTCATTCATTGGCTTCGTCTGGTAAGTTTCGTGAAGTGCATTACATGTTCCTTTTTTGTCGTGAATAAGTGAGCTGTGTATTGCATGGCTCACTGAATCTCTCTATGCATATATATATATATATATATATATACTTGACCTAATACAGCTGTGTGCGTCGGTGGCACAGTGGTTAGGACTCTCGCCGACCATGCACATAGTCCGGGGTTCGATCCCCTGCCGACGCACACCCGATATCTATGGTCGGCCTGTAAAATTTGGGCTACCGATATCCAAGCTGAAAGTTCTATACTTGTACTGAAAATACGGTGTGGCATCAAGCTGTAAATCAAAATAAAAAAAATTGAGAGCTGACATTTAAAGTGATGACAACCAGTGGTGTCCGTTAGGGACGCCCACCATCCTCATCTCTCTTTCATTTCTTCATAGATATTGTACTAATAGACTTAACCTTAAATGACTGACTTCAATAACTCAGGGATGGAGTTGGTACCACCAGGGAATAATCTCGTTGACTTAGAATATGCGGATGATATAGTCCTCTCTCCTGGTTGAAGACGCTGACTGATAAAAAGCAGAATCTTCTGGACACGTTGACAGGCAGCAGTCTTCAAATGTTTTTAACATGCGATTCGTTCCTGTGAAATGTAAAACGATGCTAGAGAACTGCAGTGAACTACATCGACTCACTCTAAGCGTAAAGGTAGGGAGTGAATTGGTTGCTGAGCCTGTTGACCACTTCATTCATTTGGAAGTTGCATCAGCCAACGCCAGTGGGTTGATTTCTGACAAAATCTGAGCACGGATACAGAAGGCTCGTTTGGCATATGCCTGAAAAATTACGCCATCTCTGGCGCAGGTGTGGTATCCAGCGAGCCATCTTATTTTATTTATTTTTTTCATTTTTTTATTTTGATTTACAGCTTGATTCCACACCGTATTTTCAGTACAAGTGTGGGATTTTCAGCATGGATATCGGTAGCCCAAATTGAGGCCGACCATAGATATCGGGTGTGCGCCGGCAGGGGATCGAACCGCGGACCATGTGCATGGTCGGCGAGAGTCCTAACCACTGTGCCACTGACGATCAAAGGATGTCAGTACTGCTCAGCAGTCCACTCCGTCCTCATCCTTTATGGCTGTGAGTGAGACCTAACCATTGAAAGTGGAAGATATGAAAAGTTTGGCTAGCTGTCTTTGATCATAGGCGTCTGAGTTCTATTTCCCGTGTGAATTGGTATAGTAGGGTGAGCAATATTGAGGTTGGGCTTTTGGTGCTAGATACTCTTTTCTCTTGCTTTGTGTGCTACATGGAGGAAAAGTGGCAAGTGGAACCGCTGCACATCTGTGCAAACGTCTATGTTGAAACCAGTTAATCATGTCCTGTAGCGTCCACCAGTGTTGCATACCGTTCCTCTGGCAGAATTCCTGGAACACTTGTGAGGTGAATGGACTACTGTTGTCGGATACAATGCATCCTGGTATGCCATGACATGCGCAGATTTTTCCTAGAGGCGCTGGAAAGTTGGGTAACCTGTACTACGTCAGGTCACTTTGAATAGGCGTCCACCAGAAATAAGTAGTACACACCATCTTTTGGCCCAGAAAAATCCTCATGTAGTCGGAACAATGCTCACAGCGCGGATTTCCGGCTGCATCTGTAACAGCGGTTAACAAAATCTTTTGTATCAACATCCATAATGTGCCAGTATGCATAACTTCTGGCAATAGATTTCATCCGTGCATTTTCTGGGTTCTCTCTGTGAAACTTTCAGCGCAGTCTGTTGCAAGGTGTCAGGTATTACCACTCGTCACTCAAACACCAAGCAGTTATTAATGAGATTGTGACGCCGTCAGAATAGTTCCTTGAGGGCATAATTTGACACAAATGATGGCCAGGAGGAAGTTCAGACGAACTTCACAGCTTGATGTAGAGTATCATCTCTTTCTGTGGCCTGCCTTATTCTCTCTGCTGTAATCGACAGCTGCTCAATGACTCATGTTGACAAATTCTGAGCGTAACTCTGTGTTTTCAGAGACACACTTAACGCTTCTTCAATTTTACCCTTAAATTTCACTGTATGGTGTGTTTTGATTAAATTTGTGGCACATTCATTCTAACTCCTACTAATTCACAGGATTTCATCGTGAGCTGACATCGGTTAGAGAACCACTAGCCAATGTCATCAGGGAGTATTTGTTCTCACATCCGACGTGGCTATTGGTCACCCTATATCGTGAATTGTCAAGAGTTGGAATTCATGGGCCATTGGATCGGGTCCCAGTGGCTTAGTGGTCTACGAGCTCACTTTGTCACCGGGAGGCCCTGGGCCAGCGCCCTGGTGGGTTCGTACTGATGGATAGTCCCGAACTAGACTGACGAAACAGCTGTCCAGTACTCTTAGCTAGTTTTCCAATGGTTCTCTAACTGGTGTCAGTTCATGATGAAATCCTATAACCAATCAATCGGATCCCTGCAAATCAACCCTTAAATATCCTCTTAGTTTCTTTGCATGACACAATCTTATCATGAGTAGATATGCGCTTGGACTTATTAGTCGTGAAACTTCTGATATCAACATAAATTAGCGCAGTTAAAGAACTCCAACAGAACATATCTTCCTCAAAGTTTGTAGGTATCTCATCGGTAAGGGCTAAAACACGGAAGATTCAACTAAGGCTTTCCTAGGGGTCCACACTTTATCACATTATTATACGATCAAGCTTATGATCACTTATGGTGTATAGATTTTGATCATAATTAAGATGTGACAAGTATGTCAGTTACAGTCGCTCAATAATTATGTCTTTAGTGTAATTGTATCACTGAAAATATCTTATTGGTTGAAATATACGTTATAATGCAAAGTATTATTGGTTTTTACTGTACTTTATTTTGTACATAGATAATCCAGACGAAAGTCGTTCACTAGTTGATGATTTAGCCGAGAAAGCCTATCATCGACTTCAGGAAGTTGAAGCTCTTGTGTCTGAAGGTCATCTGTGCGATACGTTTGTTCGAGCTCTTGTTGAGGTAAAATGTTTCATTTCTTTTTCTTCTGATATTCCATTTAATCCGTTTGCTGATAAAGATTGATGAATAAACAAACGTGATAGTGGATTGTTGTTTTAAGAATTTTTTCATTGCTTATTATTTCATGTAGAAAACACTATCTAGTCGTGCATGTTATGTGCGATTGGATTGATGTTGCCTAAAGTACAGGATATGTCACAGCTGTGAAGTAGGATGGAGTGAACTGTGGAACACAATATCCTTTAATTATAATACTCGTATTCATTCCTTGCCTTCTGAATGGAATGTTGGGCTGCAGCGGCATATCTCCATTGCATTCGGTTCCCTGGCATAACTTTTAACCGGCTCCACGACAGCCTGGAAGCTTCCATTTCTTCTTCTTCATATTACTCTGAGACACCCGTAGCCTGTCGCTTCCTATTCGACGGTTTACCTAGCGTGTATCTAATCTATTTCCTTCTGCATATCTTTTGGGCAATAGTCTCGTGGTTGGTTTACCGCTAGAGTTCCTTGTTTCCAGCTTATCCTCTCCGGTCATTTAGTTTTCAGTATCTAGTGAAAGCAGCAGGTCTGCAGTATTAAGATTATACATAGAGAGAGTTAGGTAAAGAGGGTAAGTCAATCGATCATGTTGTGAAGCTACATCGATTGAGGTGGCTAGGGTACATGTTACGTATATCAAGGAACGTTGGTTGACAAACCAAAGCCTGACATCAATCCATGTAGGTTTTGACTGTTGATTTGAAGCAAACATATAAGGAGGTGTAGATTGTCCAACTGAGCTTCTCGAGAGATTAAGAGATTGTTGGTGACATGGCTAGAAACTATTCTGAAGGACGCATATGTGTTTACTGTTTGTAATCTCCCAGAACCATTAAATCCTCGTGTTGCTTCCGTACATTTCTATCTATTGTAGTTCTTTTGAATTCTGTCCTCCCTTTGTGTGGCAATTTGAACTGCTCAACTTCTGTGCAAAGTTCTACTGTGAAACTCAGTCAGAGGGTAGGTGTTGATGGAGGTTTGCAGCCTGTTGGCAATGCTTTTCGTGAAGCATGCCCCACTTCTCTAAGCCGTATGACAGCTCTCATCGCCTTAATATTAGTGTTAAAGCTTCAGACCTTATTCCATAGGCTATGTGTTGTAAATCTCCACACCGATTTGTAATTCTGGTTGGCTCTGAAAACTTCATCTGTGTACCGCCTGTAGTTGAAATGTTGTAACCTAGGGAAGAAACTACTTCTCCCACTTCCTCCACTGATGGTAATTGTTGCTTTTTGTTTTGGGTATCTTTATCCGCTCTTTCTTCTGTCTATTCCGTTGAAGTCCTCCTCTGTCAAATTCTTGTTTTCCGCTTGTAAATCTGCTGGTCTATGTGACATGGGGCATAAATCATTTGCAAGGTTCACATCAGCGGTCTTTTTCCATCTAATGTATGTAGGTCTTCTCGTTGCCCACGGTAAATCACATTATCCAGTCCACCACAGGGAGATCATCGGTTATAATAGGTAACCTCATCTTACCCCCGTGCACCTTCCAAGGGCTTCAATAAGCTTTTCGTTATGAATTGATTGACATGTGACATAATATAACTGTACAATGAGGTTTATAATTGTTTTGGAGTAGTGTTGAAGCAGTTTACAAATTACTTCACAGTCGATACCGTCGCATTGCTTATTTAGGTGTGTACCTTCCTTTCAAGTTGAATCTTGGTGTCATTATCCTGCGAGAGGAGATTGATTTCCACTGCATGAGAACTTTCAATACTGTTGGTGAAGACATGATAGCCACATAGTCAGTGTATTGGCGCTTGTTGTTTGTGTGATCGGAATAACAATCTGGAAATTTCATTTTCACTCCATCTACTCCCATAGATTCTTAGCACCTTATACCATGTCTTCTCATTTCTTTTGCATCCAGTTCATTGAGAATGATGCAACTTCTTAAGTAAGTGTGGTAGTTAACACATTCAACCATCTAAACTTAAACTGGGGAGTCATCACCGCCAAGCTTACGGAGATTTCTTCTCAAGGTGTTCAGAAACTTGAATCTTATTGATGTCTTCGCTTTAAAGTGCCATATCAGCTGCATACTCTAGATAAACGAGACTTTTTTCTGTTGTCAACTGTATCACTGTGACACTGACGTCGATTAGGATAACATTCATCTGTACAATTTACAATGAAGTTAAAAATACTAATTTTGAGCATCCTTGAGAGACAGACACCGCTAGTTATTGTTCATTCTGATTCGACCCTCATTAAGCTCTTAAACGGTAGCGTATTTTGGAGTAGAGGTTTTTCACGGTATCCATTTCATTGCCGGAATACCTTTTGATCTATAGAGTCAAGTCCTGCCTTCAGGTCATGAAATATAACAATAATAATAGCTTTATTCCAAAAACATGCGTTTATACACAATACAGAATTTTCCGCGAGTTTCATTGCGAAGGTATTTACTTTTCTATAGTTTGGTTTGTAAGGGTTAGATATGTTTTTACGAGTTGATCACGGATTAATATCAGTTATAGAACCATTGAAAACCAGGGAGTACTGGACAGCTGTTTCATCCACCTAGTTTGGGAATCATTGGCAGTACACACCCACGAACAGGGTTCGAACCCAGGACCTTCCGGTTGCAAGGCAAGCTGGCTCATATACCATTCAGCCACTGGGTTCGAACCCTGTTCGTGGGTGCGTACTGCCAATGATTCCCAAACTAGGCGGGTGAAACAGCTGTCCAGTACTCCCTGGTTTTCAATGGTTCTATAACTGATATTAATCCGTTATCAACTCGTAAAACCATTAATAACCCTAACAAACCAAACTATAGAAAATTAATCTGATGCTCGCTAGTGACTTGCTGCAGTATGGAGTTTCCTGAAGTTATAGTAAGAAGTCGTGACCAGTGAGGTCCATCCAGATGTCACGTGTGAGGATGGATGTTCCACCGACGACACTGGTTGGGGTCGCACTAAATCTTGAATTGGTAGAAGTTAGAATTCATGGGCTGGCCGTTGAATCGGGTCCCAATGGCTGAATGGTATACGAGCTTTCCTTGTAACCGGAAGGTCCTGGGTTCTAATCCCAGAAGGTATTTACCCTTTTTGTTGAATCTTCAAATAATAGAATAATCGACAATAAATCATCTTAAGCAATATTTTCCATCCGAAGTATGCTTCAATGCTACCCCACAATGTTCTTCCTCGATTTCCTGCGAAGAATTCCTAGTAGTAGGTAGAGAGTTGTTTGAACTTGTGCGCAAGCATAGATTGCAATTCTATGTGGTAATTAGAAGATTAGAACAATTTGAAATGGAGTAAAATCCATATATTTGGGAAGATAGAAAATTTAGGTATTCCAATGATTTAAACAGGCCACCGTGTTTTCATTATTGACAAGTCTTGGGTGCTAGTTAGTGTATGTACCTATCTCCCGAAATCTGTTGGTGGGTTTTATTTCATAGAATCTCTTTATTTATTGTTTGTGCATCGGCAGTCGAGCAGTAGGAACACTCACCAACCACGCCTCACATAGTCCGGGGTTCGATCCTCGGTCGACGCACTCTTAAACCCCTCTAAGTCGGTAGTAAGGCGACCAGCAAAGAAGGAAGGTTGAGCTAAATGAGGCTAGCAACCCCATCCCGTAGAAATGAAAACCACTGCTACCGAGACTTCAAAGCTCTCTTCTATCTTGAAGTCCTATGTCGCACTCGATGAAACAAAAAGGAATAAAATAAAGACGAAAATTAATGGATACTGAACAAAGAGTACTCTTTTCGATAACCTCTTCATCATCAGGCTCTACAATTATATATACACATTATAGTGAATGAATGAATTAGTGTTATGAACAACATTAATGCTGTTTAAACAACATCGAATCAACAATATTGATAGATTACAGCTCAATAGCATCAGCATTGAATAAGCTGAATGTCAGAAAGGCAAATTAGGAAAGATAATATTACAAATCCATGAATTTATAGTCTTTACTGAAGGCCGGCCAGGGTAGTAGTAGGGGCTAGCTGGACTTGCTTCTTTTGCACACAGAGCACTGGTTGTTTGAGGCGAATTGCAATAGCCTCTGCTGTTTGGAGCATGCGGTGCTTCGATGATTTTGGCAATTTATTAGGCACTCTGTAGATGATAGAGAAGGATTCTTCCACGCTGGCTGGCTTTGTGGCCGGCCGGTTTGCACCAGATGGTCCAATATCGAACTGTTAATGGCTTTAACTACACCTTTATTTGGCCATAGTGGGAGATGCTCTCGAGCACGAACAATCAAGTTCCTAGAGCAACGGTCCATTTTCTAGCTTACTTAGAAAGAAATCAGCCAGAATGGGACCCAATGGGTAGCCCATCGCCACCCCGTCCACTTGCCTGTAAAGCGTGCCGTCAAATTTGAAGTTTACATTCATGGTACATCTTAGTATCAATTCTTTTAAGATTTCAGTATGGATGCCAACGTTTATCGACTGCTTGTCCACTTGTTCACATATATAATTAACTGTTTCTATTAGAGGTACATTTGTGAATAACGATGTTATGTCCAGAGATATCATGGTTTTGTCCTTGATATTAATATCTTTAATTTTGTCTACGAGTTCAAACACATCTTTGACGCTATATTTCACTATCTTATCATGCAAAGGTTTGAGAATATTTACTAACCATCTATCTAGCTAGAGCATGGTATGGCGAATTTTGCATATCAAGTATTGATCTTCACGGTACCCCAGGTTTATGGACTTTCGGTAGGCCATACAATCTTGACGTATACGTACGTGCCCGTTGGTTTGATTTCTTCAAATGAGCTTTCAGAAAATATCTGCTCCTCCTCCCTTAGTTTCTTCAAACGTCTGGTTAATTCATTCTCTACTTGCCTATTAAAGCCGTTCTTGCTACTGAAAGTAATCCGTAATAGAGTTATAGTCTACCACGACAGTGCCTAATTTTCAGCCTTATATCAAGACTAAAATAACCTTCATTCCCTTTTTTATAACTAATAGATATTAAAATATTTCAATGAGCATACACGTGCATACGATTTACTGCTGGATTATGCTGAAAAAGTACCCGAGAATCCAAATACTCTGAGATATTTATGTGAATGGCATCAACTACGCCAGTCGACAACAGATACAATACACTCGTCCATTGTACTGTCACCGACTCATTCGCTTAGTAATAATACACACAATAATGATTCCTCCGCCTATTATACAGATGAATTCAGTGATGGAAATACTGATGTCGACAGAAAAGTTCTCCGACCTGAATCCAGCAGTCAAAAGAAGTCGGCGAAAGGCAGTATGAAAAGTTCTAAAATTTGTTTAAAATATCGTATAGCCTTTTGTCGGCGTGTACTGCCTGAACCAGCGCCTTCTCTTCCTGAGAATTATTCAAGTATGACGAAAAAAGAAGTAAAAGGTCTACTGAGAAGAAATCATCCCCACCTACAGACTATAATCACTTGTTTAAAACGAGGTTAGTTGATCAGATCTCTTTTCCCCTCTCTCTCTCTCCCTCTGTTGTCTGCATACATAAAATATTTATTTATTTGTTAATTATTTTATTTAATAAGGAATTGTATAGACGAATAGACGCTGTGGCGATGGGGTCACCACTAGGATCCATTCTATTCAACATTTTCCTTGCGAAAATAGAAAATGGGCCTTTGAAGGGTGTTGTTATTGATGAACTTGAATTCTATTGTCGGTACATGGATGATACATTTTTGATTATGAAAAATGAGAAGGAAACAAAGAACATCCTGCAATAAATTTTACTATTAAGAAAGAAAAAGACTCTAGTATTTCATTTCTAGACGTCCTTATGACCAGAAAAGAGGATGACACAATAAGAAGAAGTGTATATAAAAAATCCTACATCAACGGGTCAGTATACTCATTTGTTTTCCAGCTTCGTGCTCTTGAAATACAAACGCAATCTGATAAAGTGTTTGGTTCACAGAGCAAGAGCAATCTGCTCGGATGAATGTCTTGATGAGGAACTTAATAATATTAAACGGTTGCTAAGTGAAGACGGTTATCCAGAAAAGTTTATTGATAAGAATATGAATTTAAAATCAAAGCAGGCCAAGGTACCAATAGTTCCTAAAAAGGCCTTATTGTTTCAAAGGCAGTTCCTTGAGGACAACATCAGCGAGATACTAACACAGCGCCTTAGAAATGAGGTAAAAAGAGCATTCCCTGCTGCCTTCAAAACCTCTCCTCTTTTGCGTTCGGGAGTAAAATATAGACTGTCTAATTTCGCCTCTTCCATGTGTATCTACCAAGTTAACTGCTCCTGTGGAGTCAGTTACCTAGACCGTACAATAAGGCGTGTTTATCGTCGGATTTCGGAACATCACGTTGTGTGGTTAAGTAAAGGACAAACAAAATCCATTCATAGCCCTATTCTATCTTATCTTGTGGATGCAGAAGACAAAACTGATGGTAACGGGGCTTTCAAAGTCATCTACCGCATACCAACCAACCTTAACTTTACTTTAAGAGTTAGTCTGATACATATTGCTGAAGATGTTGGAATCTACATTGAGAAGTCTAACTTTTGCATCCAAAAGCAGTTGGTTCAAACGCTTTCCTCACCTTGGTCGCCAATCAAAGTTTTAATGATCCTCACTTTGTTGTAGAAGTTTCTCTAATTTTATTTGATATTCTATTTGCCACTGCATTTTTATGCTTGTCATAACTTAGGCATCTCCCTTGGACTGTATTTCCGTTGATCTTAACAAATCGGTATTATTTAGGAAGACATTAATGTCGTTAAGGACGATAATTCTAGAATATTATATGCATATATAATTGCAGTGCAGGAAGAGGAATTTATCCAAAAGAATTCAATTTCTTGTTAAACTTTGTAAAATGCTTACATGATCACCTGAATACTCTACAAGACTGTCAATGAAAACGTTATCGAAGAATTTATTCTCTCTGAAATTGATTGAAATACCCGTATGAATCATTGAGTTGTATTCCTCAGGAATATTTGTGTACACCATTATCGGAGTGTATATCCTATGTGAGTCACTTATTGTTCAATAAACCTACAGCTTTGCTTAAAAATACGTTGGTGGTTCAGTGGTAGAACACTAGCCAACCACTCAAGTAGTCTGGAGTTCGATCCCTGGTCTTTCGAATATAAATAGCTCTTGTTGTAATTATATAGTCGGAGGCAGTCAGTCTGCAGAAAGCTATGGACCTAGGGTACCCTCACCAGTCAGCAAGGCGTAATTGTAACCTTGAAGGAACTCTTGCCCCTCTTAGATTCGAACCCGCGTCATTCAGTGCTGCAGTCAGAGACGTTACCGCTGAGCTATTCGGCCTCGTGGTTGACCTCTTGTAGGATTGTATTAGCTATTTTATTTGAACACTAGTTGACCTAGGTTTGGATTTCAGAGAAGACATGACATGAGTTCCTCCAAGATCGCAGATAAGCCTTTTTGACGAGTATAGAAACAAAATTGAAATAATAATTTTAACTTGAAATGGAAGTTTGGAGGTGCGAATAAAGATTACAAGAGCCTTAAAAACAAAAATTACACAGGATTAGGATATAATTGTAAAATAGTTATTTTAAACGAATTATAAATGTGAGCGGGGAAAGCATGGAGACAAACTTAAAATAACTGTTCTTATAACTGAAAAATGGGGTGAATTGAATGAAGACAGAGGGAGTAAGAATCACACAGAGAACAAAAGAAAATAACGGAAGCTGAGGGGGCATACCGAACTAGGTCCATGGTAGTTGTAGAGGTTGGACTAATATCTTTTGAACACAGCTCCGGTTTTCGATGCATATTGCGAGTGCTTCTGCAGTGTAGAGAAATCGGAAACATACTGCTTTTGGTAGGTTCCTGTTGACTTTGTAAATTACTTTGAATGAGTCATTTGAGATATTGTGGGGGTTGTTGATCAGATGTTCAATAATGGCACTTCTGATTGAACTGGTGCCTCCTCTTTGCAGCCACGCTGGGTAATGTTCTCTAACACGTTTTGAAAGGACTCGCATACAACGACCTATGTACCTAGCTCCGCACGAGCAGGTGAACTGGTATATGCACATTGAGTTAGTCATATGCGAGAGTTTGTCCTTAGCGTTGTTTCGAAGTATTGCACGGCTAGAGAATGTCACTCTTACTGTTGCTGCAGGGAAGGTCTTCTTTAAAGAGCTAGATATTCTCCTCTTCAGGATATCGGCTGCCAAATCTCCCCTGAAATTCAGATTCAGATATAGCGTTTTCTTTGGCGCTGAATCGCATTCTTCTCTTTTTGGTTTAGGTTTCATGTTGTTTTCGACAAAACGTGTGGGGTAACCATTTTGAACCAGGATATTTTTGAGGAATAGGAGCTCCTCTTCCACGCAGTCGCTGCTGCAAATTTTTCTGATGCGATGGGTTAGTGCGATGATGAGAGCTCGTTTTCGGCTCAAAGGTATCCAACTATAGAAATGCGTTAGTTGGCTGTCGCATGTTGGTTTTCTGTGGATGGATCTCTTCAGAGTTCCATCATCTCTTCTTGTTAAATCCATGTCCAGAAATGGAATCTTTGAATCGTTTCCTAATTCCATTGTGAATTTAATCGAAGGATGGGAATTATTAAATTCTTGTAAGATACATTTGAAGTCTGAGTTATATTAGTAGACTATAAAGGTACCTTTTGTACATTAGTAATTTGTTTATTGTTGATTTTAAAACTCCACTCTACAAACTGGACATAAAGCAGTCTACTAAAAGCGGGTCAAGAGGAGATCCCATTGCAATTCCGTCTTCGTGTCTGTAGATGTAGCCGTTGAAGGTAAATTGTACATTCAGCGTGCATCTCAGCAAAAAGGCTCTAAGGCTCTTATAATCTATATTCGCACCTCCTAACTGCCATTTCAAATTAAAATTATTATTTCAATTTTGTTTCCATGCTCATTTTCTATGCGCTAGTAATTCGTTATAACCCTGTGTAATTTCTGACGAGTGCCGACAAACACGAAACCTAGGTTAAGCTGCACTTCCTGCCGATTACCTCCATTCATTTAATAAGAACAGTTCAGGGTGCATCGTGATGGCAAGCCTCATCTAGCATAGTTGCCACTTTGCAAACTTAACTGATCACATTCAGTCTCTAACAAACAAAATTGACTTGACGCATGACGCCAGTTACTTACCACGTATTGTTCAGTCAAAATATAAGTAACTTTTGAAAATATTTAATCGAAAACACAATTTTCTTCACTGTAACATCTTGTTTGCCGTTCATTATAGTTGGAATTCGTTACTCATCAAATGGAATAAGAGATATGGTATCAAAATATTATGCCATTACTGTTTTAAGAGGTGATATACAGCATAAATATATTTGTTCCACTGGGATTTGATTTCAGATTATATACTGACTAGCAATTTCAGCCATTTGTTTGCATTTTCTCGTTAACCCCTTCAGATACTTTCAAGAATTTGAATTTAGTTGAATTTATTGTCAGTATTTTATTATAGAACTTCAATATTTTTTTCTGGTTAATTTCTGTCTTTCTCTTTTCCCACATATATGCATCACTTAGGAAAATATTCAGATGCTTTGGATTTGTCATTTTTATTACTCGATCATCCATCTTGGGCTGTTTACTGTGAACCTTGGCGTCTATTACGCAAGAGTATATTGTGTATTGGCAAAAACAAGTGAGTGTATAATATTATTTTTTTTCCTTCACGTTCCCCAGTGGAACATAGGGCTTCAAGCCAGTGGCTTGAAGTTTCTGTGGCAATGTTTATTTTACAGGATGGGGTTGCTAGCCTCATGCCCAACCTTTCTTCTTTGCCAGCATTATTTCTGGCTTAGCGAGGTAAAGGAGTGCGTCGGCCGAGAATCGAACCCCGGACCATGTGCATGGTCGGCGAGCGTCCTAACCGCTTTGCCACCGACGTACCTCGGCATAATATTATAATATTATTTAAAAATGCATTGAAGTAAAGCACGCAACAAGGACATTTTTTGGTGTTAAATACACAAGTTTCAGCCTCATTTTATGTATAGGAACCTATGTGATACTAATTGGTGTAGCGACCAAAATCGACTCGGTGTGGTCTAAACTCAGCGAGCCTATCCTTACGTCCCGGTGTGTATAGCTGTACAAAACTTCCTTGGAAGAGGATTTCATTCCCATAAAGAAAGATTGACTTCTGAAGCCTTGCACATCTTAACCACATCGAATTCAGTGAATAGGAAAGATGGGATAAACTTATCACCTATATGGGAAACTCTAATGAAGCAAGACAGATGAATAAACAATAAACACTCTATGAGCTTCCATGACCTTTTAAAACATATAGGATCATTATAGGTTTCCAGGCCGTAGGTGTTACGAACTTCCTGAAATAATTTGAGCGCCGAGTCAGATTGATTCATCATAAATTATTTAAATTAATCCCAGCGTGTTAAGAAAATCAAAACAAGATTTTTCTGAACGTTTCGCTGTGTAAGCCACAGCTTCTTCAGCAGATTTATTCGGATTTTTATTAATCATCAAAATATATAGTCAAAAATTTTACATACATTAAAGTCAGTTTATTTGAAGGTCATTTGTCTATGGACATTTTTACCAATAGAAAATATGTAACCAGTCATTACATATATTTGTAATGACTAATATAGCAGAGTGAACACACAACAACTTGACATTAGTCATTACAAATATATGTGATGACTGCTTACATATTTTCTATTGGTAAAATGTCCATAGACAAATGACCTTCAAATAAACTGACTTTAATGTATGTAAAATTTTTGACTATATATTTTGATGATTAATAAAAATGCGAATAAATCTGCTGAAGAAGCTGTGGCTTACACAGCGAAACGTTCAGAAAAATCTTGTTTTGATTTTCTTAACACGCTGGGATTAATTTAAATAATTTATAATGAATCAATCTGACTCGGCGCTCAAATTATTTCAGAAAGTTCGTAACACCTACGGCCTGGAAACCTATAATTCCTTGTGAAATGCTTAGTCACAGTTGTTTGTAATTTGAATTTGAATGTGTGGCTCTTTTCAACAACAATAGTGACATCCAAAACTCACAACTACCTCACAACAGTCAGTGCCTTTAGGCAGCTAAACAGGTAATGTAGGTTTCTAAGTACAAAACAAGTACTGTAAGACAAAATTACTTAACGAAAATTCAATTGCAAGAAGTACCTTGGAATCAAGTAGAATATTCCAAAAAAGGTGGGATCAAAAGCTCTGTTCACAAGAATCACACACATCAATGCTTCCTTCAGACTGTCCAGGTTCAGAATGACTCCTTGATTCACTCAAACAAAATCGCATCGTATAACACTACATTAATGTACACACCCATAAATAAAAGCATTCAAATTTAAGAATAAACAGTGAGAAAGACAAATAATAAGGTTAAATTCAACATGTGATATGCATATGTCAAAATAATGATATGTAGTTTTCAAGAGTTGGTTTGTAAGGATTAGATTTGTTTCTACGAGTTTGACCACGGATTGATATCAGTTAGAGAACCATTGAAAACCAGCACTGGAGTACTGGAGAGCTGTTTCATCCTAGTTTGGGAATCATCGGCAGTACTCACTGGTTTTCAATTGTTCTCCAACTAATATCAATCCGTGGTCAAACTCGTATAAACAAATCTAATCCTTACGAGCCAAATTTTGAAAAGTTATAGTTGTTGCAGTTAAATCTGACCTCTGTATCTACCTCAGTGTGTAAGGAATATTTTCAGGTGATCAGTTGGTGAAAGTGTGTCATATCTGGAGGCGTATTTTAGTGAAGTTAGACAACAAGATCATTAACACTTCGTTATAACAAACTTATTTAGAGTTTAATGTTGGACAGTTTAAGAAGAGTATTATTATAATATTATTATTCCCTTGAGTCCCGAGTGGAACATAGGGCATCAATAACACATCTCCACTTTGTCCTATGGCTAGCAACTCCACACCACTAAATCTATCAAACCGCTAGAGAAACTTCAACAAACAAAAGATATATATTAAGAATAGTGTTAATTATTATTTCTGTCAGTTAAAGTATATTTTCATAAGAATGGATACTGAACAAGGAGTAGTCTTTTCGATAACTTCATCATCAGGCTTTACAGCTATATGTACATTATAATGAATGAATGAATTAGTGTGGAGCGAGTTATATTGACAGTTGCTCTAGGAACTTGATTTGTCGTGCTCGAGAACATATCCCACTATGGCTAAGTAAAGGTGTAGTTAAAACCATTAACAGTTTGATATTGGACCATCTGGTGCAAACCGGCCGGCCACAAAGCCAGTCAGCGTAGAAGAATCCTCTATCATCTACCAGGTGCCTAATAAATTGCCAAAATCACCGAAACACCGCATGCTCCAAACAGCAGAGGCTATTGCGATACGCCTCAAACAACCAGTGCTCTGTGTTGAAAAGAAGCAAGTTCAGCCAGCCCCTACTACTGCCCTGGCCTTCAGCAGAAACTATAAACTGATGAATTTGTAATATTATCTTTCCTAATTCTTCTGACACTCAGCTTATTTTATGTTGATCCTATTGAGCTGTAATCTATCAATATTATTGATTCGATGTCATTTAAACAACATTAATGTTTTTCATAACACTAATTTATTCATTCACTATAATGTATATGTTAATCGCGATAGAGAGATAGACTATATGATAAACAGCCAATCAATATTATGTGACCTTTTTTGTCGCGATTATTGGCCAATTAATGTAACTCTCACCACGTGAATGACCTTGAATGTTCTTTTTTGTCTGTCACTTTACTTGTATATACATGTAATTAATTGACTGTTCATTTTGTCCGTACCTTCAATACTGTTCGGTACGTTTTTGTCCTATTTTTGTAATGACAATGGATTTGTACATTTTTCTTGGTGTAATTGTATGGTTTATTTTATGTTTTAGAAACAGATAAAGTTAAAGTCAAGTTATTCTGTTTTAACTATTGCTAAGCCCAGACTCTGTGTTGTCAGTATTGAGGGAGGACTAAATCTGTAGGATAAAAATAATCCTACAAAGTTTCGAACAGTATGTCAGATGAAAGTTATGAAACTATGCCGTCGTTAACTCCACAATTAGGAAAGAGTAATGAAGCTGATTTCCTTGGAAGCAACGAGTATGAATCACGCTATATGGTAGAATTGGAGCTAGCGAAATTGCGCATAGTCCAAAAAGAGAAGGAAATGGAGTTAGAAAGATTACGACAAGGTAGTCGCGAATGTTCTTGTCACAATAAATCGCCTTACAAACCTTCTACTTCTCATAAAGTCTCTGTATCTCCTAATGATGAGTCCACCAGAACCATATCTAAGTTTCTGGACATGCTTAAAGCATATCAATATTTTAAGTGGAATGCCGATGAACTTGAGTGTTGGATCAATGAAAAACTGCAAACATATACAAATGAGGATTTTAATGAACTCAGTAATCTTCAGCTGAAAAAACAGAAACATCAAGAGTTTGAGTTCGAAGTAACAGTTCATGCTGAAACACTCTCAGCTCTAGATTCTACGGGAGAAGAAATGATTGGTCAGGGACACTTCGCAACAGATATTATCAAAAACCGTCTTGATGAATTGCATGCCCTGTGGGAAAGGCTTATGGCTATTTTCAGAGAAAAATCACGTCTTATTAACCTAACGCTTAAATTTGTCCAGTTTTCAAGCCAAGTCGATGAGATACTTTTCTGGATACGTGAAAGAGAAACTTACGTAACATCAGAGGATTTAGGTCAAGACTTGGAAGATGTTGAGACACTTCAAAAAGGGTTTAATGAGTTTACAAAAGATCTCGAGAATCAAGAAAGTCGTGCCGAAGACATCTATCGGAAGGCAGATGAACTTCTAAAAGAGAAATTTCCTGAGGATGCCCTAGTCATAGAAAAGTCCAGAGAGGTCCGCGAAGCTCTAGAACGTCTGAAGGGTCTGGCTAGAAAACGACAAGGAAAGCTCCTGGAAGCCTATGAGATACAGTGCTTCTTTAGAGACACAGATAAAGCTATATCGTGGGTGAATGAAAAGTCTATTCCCTTATCCATTGAGGACTGTGGTCGTGATCTTGCCTCAGTCCAAGCCTTACAAAGGAAGCACGAAGCATTAGAAAGGGATTTGACTGCCCCAGATGAAAAGATTGTTCGACTTGGAGATGATGCTAAGGCGCTTGCACAGAAGCATCCTGATTCGCAAGACACTATACAAGGCAAGTATGACGAATTAATTACTGCATGGGATAAGCTGAAAAGTCAGGCTGTAGATAGGAGAGGTAAACTGGAAGAGTCATTCAAGATGCATCGCTTTTTGGCTGACTGGAGAGACTTGAGTATCTGGATGAATGACATGAAGACGTTAATATTGGCGGATGATTTGGCAAAGGATGTAGTTGGTGCTGAAGCCCAAGTAGAGCGACATAAGGAATACACCGCTGAGATAAATTCTCGAGCTGAAAGTTTCGATACATGCATGCAAGAAGGTCAGGCATTACTAAGTGTTGGCCATCCCTGTAATGGAGACATAGCTGCTAAACTTTCCACCCTTGAAAGAGAGAGAGCCTCCTTGATGCAGTTGTGTGAGGAAAGACGTGAACAGCTAGAACAGTGTATGGGCCTTCAGTATTTTTACCGCGACGCTGAACAGTCGGAATCTTGGATTGGTAAGCAAGAGGCCCTCCTAGAAATAAATGATGTGGGAGACTCACTCGATTCTGTCGAAGCACTTATAAGGAAACATGAAGACTTCGAAAAGTCACTTTTAGCACAAGAAGAAAAGATGCGACAACTTGATGAATTCGCTGCAAAATTAATCGAGTCAAACCACTATGCGGCTGCACAGGTTCATGAGATTCAGGAAGGTCTTCAAAGCAGACGAAATGCATTAAAAGAGAAAGCTCAGAACCGCCGTCAGCATCTTCAAGATTCCCACCGTTACCAAATGTTCGATAGAGATGCAGATGAAATGCAGTCATGGATATCAGGAAAACTTAAAAATGCACTTGATGAAAGTTACAAAGACTCCACGAATTTGCAAACAAAGGTGCAGAAGCATCAGAGTTTTGAGGTAGAAATACAAGCGAACCAGTCCCGCGTTGAAGATATTAAAAAGACAGGTCAGGATTTGTTAAATGCAAACCACTACAACTCGCCAGAAATAAAAGTAAAGATTGAACAGTTGGATGAAACTTGGTCTCATCTCGTAAATGCCATGGGAGACAAGAAGAAAAATTTAGATCAAGCAAGTAGTCAACAACAGTTCGCTCGTAACGTAGATGTCAAGTTATGGTTGAATGATGTTGAAGCTCAAATAGCCTCAGAGGATGTCGGTCGTGATCTAAACGGTGTGATGAACGCACAAAAGCTGCACAACTTGCTTGAATCTGATGTAGCTGCTCATCGTGAACGTATAGATGCATTCAAAGTCCAGGCTGACATGTTTGCTGCAGAAAGTCATTTCGACGCTCCTATTATCCAAGAAAAACAAAGACAGTTAGCCCAACGTTACCATGACCTGCAAATCCCTCTAAGTCAACGTCGTGAGAAGTTAAGAGATGCCCTTCCCTCGGACACATCTTTGCAGCTTGAATATGGTGACTATAGTGAGCTGATGAAGTTACTAGTCGATTGTTGTAAAGATTTTAAAGCATATTCGCTTAACCAAATTGAATCAGAAATGTGGTATCAGTATGCTGAAAGCTTCACTACTGGCTCAGTAGCCACTCACAAAGATGCCTTCAGGTTATGTGTTAAAGATAAGAACCCTGTTGTTGAAAACTATGTTGGTTTTATCGAGTCGTACCGTGATCCCTTTGGTGTTCGTGCAAGGTTTGAATCATTTGTCGCTGTTGTAAATAGATCAGTGTCTAAAAATTTCCAACGACTTGTAAATAATGCTGAAAGGTTGTTAACAAGTTTACCATGGCCTTCTACGTTTGAAAAAGTTAATTTCTCACAGCCAGACTTTACTAGTTTGAATGTGGTTACGTTTGCAACTGCTGGGATTCCTGTTGGAACTAATACTCCTAACTATGATGATGTACGACAAGTTGATGGATTTAAAAATGTTTCTTTGGATGATGTACTTAGTGTTCGTCTCGAGGATCCTAAACCAGAATTTCTACGTAATGAAGACAAACAAATGTACGTGGAACATGCTGAAAGTTCCTTTGAATTACAAGTTGGACTTCATGAACTGATGGGATATGGTTCAGGTAAACTGTTTCGGCGTGATTGTTATGGAAAACGAAATTTCCACACGAAAACTACTGAATATGTCATAAATGGAGGTCCTATAAAAGGTTGGTGTGAACCAGGAGAAACGTATGACAGCAAGTTTCCAAACCTTCCATCTGCAATAGATAAGTGTCGAGCTGAGTGCGTTGGAATTTATTTATCTGATTTACCTCTTGTTCTGGAGCAATTCGGTCTGAATACCAACTGTGCTCAAGGCAATGTCTCAGATGTAGTCTATATTAATTGGTTGTCAATGTCTCCTTCAGCTGTACCTTCCATGGAGATTTATTCTGCAGGAGAAAATGCTGATGACATTGGATCATGGTGTCAAGCACATTATTGTGCTCGTTATGCGATTCTGCAAGTTTTGATTGAAGCTGACGATTCTATGGGACGTACACATAAAGTAGTCGGTGAGGACGATGCATCTGATTTGTGTATTTCCTTAGTTCCAAAAAGGCTTTTAACTGTGGCTCGTTCAGCAATTGGTGAATTCTTAAGAAAATTACAATATTACAAAGGTAAAGCGAATGCTATGTATGGATATGCTTTCTTCCAACACTATAGTCAACTACTTCCAAAATATTTGACTGATTTGCTCTGGCATAAATGGCTACGTGGATATCTTCTGATGCTGCAAACAAGATCTAAGTGGTTGGATATAAAGCACAACCTACAACCTGATGATCTCGTCTTAGTTAACAGTGCTGACACACAGAGAGGTCTCTGGCGAAAGGCTATAGTTAAGCAGATGTACTATGACCAAGATGGCCACGTCAGGACACTGTGTTTGAAAACTTCAACTCAAGAAGTGGAACAAGATATAAGAAGCGTACGAAAGGTCAACGTGGTGATCGTTCGCGGGGAGTGTTAATCGCGATAGATAGATAGACTGTATGATAAACAGCCAATCAATATTATGTGACCTTTTTTGTCGCGATTATTGGCCAATTAATGTAACTCTCACCACGTGATATGACCTTGAATGTTCTTTTTTGTCTGTCACTTTACTTGTATATACATGTAATTAATTGACTGTTCATTTTGTCCGTACCTTCAATACTGTTCGGTACGTTTTTGTCCTATTTTTGTAATGACAATGGATTTGTACATTTTTCTTGGTGTAATTGTATGGTTTATTTTATGTTTTAGAAACAGATAAAGTTAAAGTCAAGTTATTCTGTTTTAACTATTGCTAAGCCCAGACTCTGTGTTGTCAGTATTGAGGGAGGACTAAATCTGTAGGATAAAAATAATCCTACAGTATATATAACTGTAAAGCTTGATAATGAAATATCTTTGCTTGTCAAATGTCAAAGTGACTGCTCTAAACTTAATGGCTTTCTTTCAGAAATCAGCCAGTGGTCTAAGGAAAACGGTCTTACCTTAAACCCCTCCAAATGCCAAACAGTCAATTTCACCTTTAGGCATAAATCCGACCTAAACAAACTGGTTGGCTCTCACGAGGTGTGCAACATAGATGGCACTGAAATAGAAACCAAGTCAGAAATTTAATATCTAGGCGTCATTCTATCTGCTGATCTCTCCTGGTCGTCTCATATCTTGGCGATTTCTAAGAAAATATTCCGTCTTACCTTCTACATCAAGAAGTTAAAACATTCTGGTATAACCCAACCCTTACTCCTACAATTTGTCAACTCTCGCATTCTGCCTATTATTCTCTATTGTTCCCCCTTAGTTTTTCCCGGGCTACTGATGAAAGATTATAACATATTATGCAGGATGTTAGAGGTTGTCAGCAGGGTAAGCAACGTGCCACTTAACCAGCTTGTTAATATTCCGGTTGACAGGCACATGGACTCTTGTGAAAAATGGGCAAATCCATTTTATCTAACTCACACCACCCTCTTCACTCACAACTCTCCGCTTGAATCTCATCAGGCAAAACCAGAAGCCTATATAGAAAACTATATGCTCGCACCAGCAAGTACAAAAACTCAACCATACCCTACTTAGCTCGTGTTCTGTGCGATAAAGAAAGCATTAGGCGTGACACCTATAATTCATTAAATAGTCAGTAGTACAACTGGATCTCGTCTTTCCAACTCATATCATTTATAGGTACAACATTTTCTTTCTTTCTTTTCCTTTTCTCTCTCTCTCGCTTACGCCAGTAAATATGACAGCACCTACTTTTCTAAAACCTTCAAACACTGTTCAGCTTTGGCTTTGCTACCGACATGCCAATATGTTGTTGTCATAATGAACTGAGATTTCCTTAATCTATGTAGAATTCTATTTATTGATAATGTACTAACTGGATGCAATACTGTAGTAAAAATGCTGAGAATTCCATTCTGTATCACAAGTACTGTTTTGGAATAAAGCAAATTATTATTATTATGAAAGTTATCGAAATGAGTACTCTTTGTTCAGTATCCATTCTTTTGAAAATTTTAATAGGCATTTTGAATCAGTTAAAGTTTATTTACATACATACATACTGATTGGTTGTTGTTCTTGATTCCTGCTTGTTTTTCAGTCATCAAGTTCTACACGCCTGGTCTATCCGAAAGACTTATTGGAATCGGTTGCATTTTTCCATGTCAAAATTACCAGTGATTGGAAAGTCTATGAAAACTATGCTAAATAAACTTGATATTGTCAATTTGATGAATGAACAGTCGCATTCTGAAGATCCTTTAGGCGTGGAAATGACAATTGTCACAGATTATAGACCAGCTGTTCCCCGCGAGATCTCCAGTCCAAGCTTAACTTCCTAACATACATGTACATATATGCAGATGAATATTTTTCAATTTAAAAGATTACTACTGTTATATGATATGATTTTTGTACGTATGCTCATGAGTTAGTTTATTGTATTTTTTTTCATCAAAATGAAACAGATTACCGGAGATATTCATGATGTTTTTTCTACGAATGTCATACTGATCCATATATGTAACGGGAGACGATTAGGCACTGGGTAACGGACCTTTATTAAGAAATTACACACAACACATGTCTGTCTGCTTTCAACATAGAACTTTGCACTGATGTGCAGCAGTTCAAGCAAGAGAAGAAATACATAATAGGAACAGTAGACAAGGATATGAGACAAAGGAATAGTAATAACGAAGAACAATATGGTTTCATTGAGTATTATAAGTCACAAGGAATGGATGCATCTGCGCCAGCCATTGAGAACCATTTTGAGCTACATTACCAATTGTCTCCAGTCATTGGTGTTTACCGTCCCGAGAACCCCCACCAGGAAGTCTACATCTTCCTACTTGGCTTAAACTAACTGTTGCGGATTTCATTGACTGATGCCATGTTTTTGTTTGACCACTGCTATCTGTTTTCCAGCCTGACCCTATGTCAGCTATCATTGCATGTTGTCGAGGAAGGCGATGACTGGGCATACGTAACACATGTCCTAACCATCTCAGTCGATGTAATTTCACAGTCTCGTCAACTAATTTCCCCTCCTTACCTAGTACTCGACGCCTAACCTCAGTATTGCTCACCTTATTATACCACTTCACACGGGAGATAGAACGGAGGCACCTATGGTCAAAGACAGCTAATCTTTTCATGTCTTCCACTCTCAATGGCCAGGTCCCACAGCCATAAAGGAGGACAGAGCGGACTGTTGAGCAGTACACCCGCCCTTTGGTCGATAACGAGGCAGATATCACGTCTACGCCCGAGACGGCGTAAAGCGGCATATGCGAAACTAGCCCTCTGTATGTGTGCTGAGATTACGTCAGAGATCAACCCGTTTGGGCTGATGGTACTTCCCAAGTAAGTGGAGCAGTCAACGTGCTCTACTACTTCACTTCCTATTTCTAATCTAGGCGTCAATATAGTCCAGGCGTGTACCATCGTCTTACATTTGGCGGGAGAGAATCGTGTGCCAAACATTCGAAAGCTGCTGCTCGTGTTCAGAAGACTCTGCATTTTGTCAGTCAGCGTCTTCACCTAGGAGAGAGGACTATACCATCTGCATATTCTAAGTCAACGAGATTATTCCCTGGTGATAACAAGTCAATCCCTGAGTCGCTGAAGTCAGTCATTCAGAGTTAAGTCCATTAGTACATCTATGATAAAATGAAAGAGAGATAGGGATAGTGGGCATCCCTGATGGACACCACTAGTTGTCACCAGTTCAGATGACAACTCGCCATAAGCTCCTCACCTGGCTGCATGAGTTCGAGTAGAGTGAGTGTCTTGATCAGTGCAATGTATTTTCTCGGCATTCCCTTTACAGCCAAGCATCGCCCGAGTACTTTTGCGTAGACAGAAGCGAATGCCGCCGTAGGTCAAGAAATATAACGATTGTTTGACTTCGGTAAGTATGCCTATGTTCCAGAATCTGTTGAAGGGTGAAGCAACTCAGGAAGGAATAAGAGTGAACAATAAAGAAGAATAGGTAAGATGGAAGAGTTGGCAAACTTTAAAAGGAGGGGTTGAGTTATGCCCGAGTGTCTTAACTTGTTAATGTAAAAAGTCAGACAGAACATATTTTTTAGAAATCGCTAAGATGTAAGAAGACTAGGAATGAAGAATTAGCTCAAGATGCTTAACGTCGGACTTGAATTCTGTATCAGTGTCATCAATTTTACAACGGTCATGGGAATTAACAACTTCATTTTACTTTCGTTTACAACGGAAACTGAAATTAACAGTCTGACATTGGGAAGGATTTAGGTTAAGACCTTTCGCTGACTCCTGATGGAAAGCTGTTCATCTTAGTACAGTCTGACTGGGAGTTAATAGGCACTGAAACAGTAGGATCTTCCGCGTACTTAACAAAGTTTATTTAATCAGAGTGAGGCGTCATGCTAGAAGAAAGAAAACAGAAAAGGAGAAGAAACAGCACCTTGAGGGATGCCAGCTTCAGCAAGCAATGAAGTCGACAACTTTCCCTTACATACAGTATATTGCTTTCTTCCTGAGAATTAAAAATGCTGCCAGTTAATAGGGGAATTGGTCAAATTTGCATAATGTTGGCTGGAATAAATACTTATGCGAGTCTCGTCATGCATGGAAAATTGCTTGGATAGCGATAAGACTGAAAGCAGACACACTTTTCGGTTGCATGGCTTACATTGTAAAGGTAATCCAAAGGCTAAGTCGTACTGTTGGCCGAAAAGGATGTATACTGGTGGTGAGGTGCGTTCTTCAACCAATGAGCAATGTTGTCTTCCTTCTCTGGAGGAGAGATCGATGTCAAATTACCCTACAGACGAAAATTCAGCCGCTACCACACAGCTGGAGTGTGACCAGCAGTAGATAGTCGTTCCTTGGTTTCTTTGATCATGCTTCTTCTCATGTACACCAACTAAATATTAACTTCCATGGAGTGCGTAAGTGGGGAGTACTAACCATCCATATGTTTCTAGCACACAAACGAGTATCACCTTAGAGAGAGAGAGCATTTTCCTTGATAAACGGAGAATGTGGTAATTCTGAAGATTTATTTTTAACCGTAACCCTGGTCTCCAGGCAATGGTTCTTAACATCCCGAGGAATCTAACCAGACAATCTACATCTCCGTACGTGCCTGAAAACAACTGTCACAAGCTTTATGTATTTATGCCACGTTAGGCTTCGACCACCTCTAACCCTCATCCAATCTAATCGTATGTCAACCATCATTGCTGGTTGAGGAAAGCGGAGGCTCAGCATTCTCAATACATGTCCTATTCATCTCAATCGATCTAGCTTCACAACCTAAGTGATTGGTTTACCCTCCTTATATAACACTCTACACCTCACCTCAATATCACTCACCATATTATACTAGTAAACAATCTCCTTTTTTGAGATGATAGTCCATTAGTTAACATAATCAATCAAATGTGTATAGGATGTATAGTCAGAAAAAAGTGTGAATGAACAATTGGGTGATATAGTGTTGTTTTATAGTCAACAGAATACAAGTGTCATTGGGGTGAGAGAAATGCGATAACCACAAAATACATACAAACACACATTAACAAAGGGGACACTGAATGTGAGGACTGACCGATAATGCCTAATGATAAAATAAAGAGGCTAAATTGTAATAAAATGTTACAGAGTTGGTAGGCTTAGTGTAAAATCGCAAAGGTTGACAAAATTAAGGGTAACAATGAGGTGAAATAAACTGGGCGTAGAAATGGATAATAAAGACATGATATCACAAAACGATAATAATGGTAATAATAATACGGAAAATTATGATCCTGGTGACCTTATAGTGGGCCAGGGTAGACAGAGAAAGACCAGACTTATGTGTACAGAAAAAACTTACTCACTCTCTGTCTACCCTGGCCCACTATAAGGTCACCAGGATCATAATTTTCCGTATTATTATTACCATTATTATCGTTTTGTGATATCATGTCTTTATTATCCATTTCTCCGCCCAGTTCATTTCACCTCTTCGTTACCCTTAATTTTGTCAACCTTTGTGATTTTACACTAAGCCTACCAACTCTGTAACATCTTATTACATATTTAGCCTCTTTATAATATCCTTTTTTGTTGGTATTAGATGGTTGGAGGTAATCGACAGGAAGCCTTGGACATAGGTTTCGAGTTAGTTGGCACTCACCAGTCAGCAAGGGGTGTCTGCAATCTCGAAGGAACTAATGTCACTTCAAGGTGGCCACAATACAAAATTGACTGATAGAATTCAGTCTACACCAAAGATAGGACTAGACACCGTAGAAGCTAGTCACTGACTAGTGTCCAATCAAAGGCATCCTTTTTCAGCTAACAACATGAGGGTCCTGAATTAGCACTGGTAAAGAATCCCTAACTGAAACAAAGCGACTGACTCAGGTTCGTGAAGAAAATTAAGTGCAGAAAAATTTCATTTTGCAAAGTGAGGTCTATAACTAAAACTAAGTTCAAGAAACATAAATAGAAGCAATGAGACACAACTGTCTAAAGCACTGTGCTTTTGAAATTATACATATTTGCACATGGTAGATATTATTTGATGAAGAAAAAACAGTTTATGTACAAAATTTTAGCATTTACTATCACGAGATCTAAGGTAATGCAGTCACAGCATGGGCAAGCAAGCACCTTTGAGAATTAGTTCACGGGTTTCTCACAAACAGCTTGAAGAAAAACTCGTTTTACACAAAGTCCTTTGGCTGCATTTTTAGTTTCTTTGTGGACCCATTGAAGTCGAATTATTGATAGACCAGCATTTGTGAACAGGTTAGTTAATTCCTCTTCTGTAAAAAAGTAGGATAGTGTTCCATCCTGTCTAACATAGGATGGTCGATCCGCGTATAATCGAGACTTTCTTCCAAATCTTAACTGAGCATGATCATATTGTCCATAGTCACGAAATAGTAGGCGACCACCAGGTGACAGAACACTAAAATGCAAAGAGAGAAACACAATCTTAGAAGAGAAGTATTCATGCACATGACTATCACAAGTCTCTGTATGAATCCTTATTAGGGACAGATGGCAGTCTCTAGAGGTCAGTTTACCCAAATGCTACATGGAATGGACACTACCTACATTTTAATAGTTTTTGTCCAAATAGCTTTAAACGAGCACTAGTCAAAACTCTATACTAAACAGCTAGGAGAATGTGTTCTGCAGATAAATTAGAGGAAGAATTTCTGATTCTCGAAACGAAGTTGAAAAACAACGGTTACCCTCATTCACGAGTAGGGGAGATGTGAAGGCTGATATGACAAACAAATCACTGCGGGAAAAAAACCTGCCTTTTATTTTAAAGGTGATAATATTGCAGGAATAGTCAACAGAAGACGGAAGTCACTAGACAGAACTTGTCTTTCAGCCAGGTTAGTTCCCGTCTATCGGACAACGTGCTCCTTGGAGCAGTCGAAAGTCGACAGATACCCTTCTCACGTCAACTATAACTGTGCATGCAAATTTATACGTATCTGCGATAGAAGTTACATTCGGAGAATAGAAAGATGGGTACACCTCTGATTCTCTCAATATGTACCAAAAAGCCTATATCTCAAGGGAACAAGTGTTTTCAATTGTGCCACTGCCAGGCATCTCCTTGATACGGGTTATAAGGTGGACATCGTAAAATCCCTTAAAATTATCAATGGACAAAGTGGCTAGGTTCGCCTCACCTGAAACATTGCGAAAGACCGCACTGAAACAGTTTCAAAGTGGGCACCCAGGATATGCACGGTTGAAATCTATTGCAAGAAAGTTATGCATATTGGCCAAGTATGGATGTGGATACAAAAGATTTTGTTAACCGCTATCACAGATGCAGCCGGAAATCCGCGCTGTGAACCAATGTGAGCATGGCGCCCATCGCAACTATGGTTCCGACTACATGTGGATTTTTCTGGGCCGAACGATGATGTGTACTACTTAGTTCTGGTGGACGCCTATTCAAAATGGTCTGACGTAGTACCGGTTACCAAACTTTCCAGCAGTCGAATAATAGCACCTCTAGGAAAAATCTGCGCATGCCATGGCATACCAGAGTGCATTATATCTGACAACGGCAGTACATTCACCAGGAAAGTGTTCCAGGAATTCTGCCAGAGGAACGGCATACAACACGTATGGACGCCACAAGACATGACTAACTGGTATCAACATAGACCTTCGCACAGATGTGTAGCGGCTCCACTTGCCAATCTCCCTCCATGTAGCAAACCAAGCACGAGGAAAGAGTATCTAGCACCAAACGCCTAACCTCAATATTATTCACAATATTATGCTGCCTAACATGGGGGATAGATAGCAGACACTTATGATCAAAGACAGCTAGCCAACCTTTTCGTGTTTCCCACTTTCAATATCTATGTCTCATAGCTATAAAGGAGGACGGAGCGGACTGCTGACCAGTGATACGTCCTTTGATCGATAGTCAGACGATTATCACATCTACTACGTCAGAGATGGTGTAAACTGGCAAATGCGAAACGAGCCTTCTGTATGTGTTGAGATTTCGTCAGCGATCAACCCACTGGCGTCGGCTGATGCAGCTTCTCAAATAAATGAAGTGGTCAACACGCTAAGCGACTAATTCACTCCCTAGCTTTACGCTAGGAGTGAGTCGGTGTAGTTCAGTCCAGTCCTGTAGCATTACACCATCTTACATTTCACAGGAACGAATCGCATGTTAAACATTTGAAGACTGCTGTCTGTCAACGTGCTTAGAAGACTCTGCATTTCATCAGACAGCGCCTTCAACCAGGAGGGAGGACTATATCCTCCGCATATTCTAAGTCAATGAGATTATTCCCTGATGGTGCTGCTGCATGAGTTCGAGTGGAGTGTGTCTTGACCAGTATGATGTATTTCCTCGGCATTACTTTCACATCCAAACATCGTCAAGGTACCTCCCGGTCGACGGAATCGAATGCTGCTTTCAGGTCAAGAAATATGACAACTGTTTGTTTCTTCCGAGCACCACTTAATCTACGCATGACGATTGAGCTCACACGTATAGACATTCGACTTCCAATCAGTGAGTCATGGCTTCACACCTCGTTTCATCTATGGAAGTCTGCACTTTAGTAGAGTATCACTAGCTCTCACAAACACATAATAAGTGTGGCACATTGTCAACTGAATTAATTTATAAGTGGTTGTCGAGTAATATGTCTTTTGTTTTCAAGCAGCCAACGAGACAAAGATGTGGACAGTATTCTCGTGAAGATGTTTCACTACAAACAATAGGACAATAGTGATATTAGACGATTAAACGCAATCCAAAGGAAATCCAACCTAACCTAGATTTCGTGCTTGTTAGCACTCACCAGTCAGCAATGCATATCTACAACCTTGAAGGAATTCAAGTCCCCTAGAGACGTTACCACTGAGCTATTCGGACTCGTGATTGACCTGTTGAAGCATACATAGAAAACTAACCTTGAAATATTGCGGAGACATATGGGCATTTCGTCTGGATTTAATGCAGACAGTACAAATATTAATGTCACTAAATCAACACTGATTGCCTCATTGCTAGATTCCATATTATTGGAAGAGTTTACGGAGGATAGTGCAGTTTTCAACGAATCAGCTTGAGTTATATCACAGACAAATGCATCACATTTGATTGGATATGGTTGAACACGTTCTTTTAGCATATTTACAGCACGTTGAGAAACATCACAAGCATAGAAACGAAGAAAACCTACAGTGAGTGAAACAAAAAATATGTTGAACGATGGATTGTTTAATAAAGAAAATGACAGTCGATAAATGAAAGAACCATGAATAACTTTCAGATCACAAAATAAAACTTTCTGTGAATTATAATAGCATGTTTGGATGATTCAACGACAACCAAATGTACTGTTACTGAGATAATATAGAGTGAAAAGAAAATGAAGCCAGGTATAGGAATTGAAAAGTAACCCATAAGAAGGCTAATTGTAATATTTTATCTACTCCAATAATAGAAAATTTCAAACTGGAAGAGAACTGTTCCCCCTTATCTCTGTCACAGAAACACCAAAAGAACAGCCCACAGCCTTCTACACAAAAGTAAACCAATCACGTTTCTATCAGCTGGTTAGAGAAAACATGACGAAAATAAGTGGAAACGGAATGGAACTAAAGTAAGCCAGAGATATCAGACAAAAATCAATGGATATGACGATTATATACATTCACACTTTTGAGAGTCCTTTGAGGTTGCATCACTCATCCGGCTGTTGACCAAAGGACGTGTGTACTGCTCAACAACTCGCTCTGTTCTCCTCCTTTATGGCTGTGAAACATGCCAAAGTGGAAGATATGAAAAGGCTGGCTGGCTGCCTTTGCTCATGGGTGTCTGCATTCTATTCCCCATGTTAGGCGACATAATAGAGTGAGTATTATTGAGGTTCGGTTTCGGTAGAGTGTTAAGTAAGAAGGGAAAATCAATCAATGAGGTTGTGAAGCAGCTGCATCGACTGAGATGGTTAGGACATGTGTTACGCATGAATGTTTAGCCATTGCCTTCCTCGACAAGAGGTAACGTCAACTGACATAGGATTGATTAGGTTGGAAAACAGCTAGTGGTCATCAGACGAAAATGTGGCTTCATCAGTCAATGAAATTCACAACAGTTAGTTTGAGCCAGTCAGCCGCCACGTAGATAGGTGTAGACTAGTTGCCTCACTGGTTGAAGTCCTCAGACCAATGGGTGGAGACAATTGGTGATATGGCTCAAAATCGTTCTCAATGACAGCTCAGATGCGTTCACTCTTCGTGATTTATAATATCCAATAAAACTGGACTGTTCTTCCATATTACTGTTTTTTTTCCCTCGCTCATACTTCTGTTTAATGTCTATTGAATCTCTCTCTACTCTCTACGCTTGCTTTGTGTGCTACATGCAGGAGGAGTGGCAATTCGAACTGCTGCACATCTGTGCAAAGTTCTACGTTGAAACCAGTCAGTCAGTCATTCACCAATAATAGAATGGAATATTCTGTGGATCCAGATACGAGTCTATCGATCTATCGAAATGTTAGTTTGTAGGGATTTGTTTGGTTTCCAGTTTGATCGTGGACTGATATCAGAAATTACTGGACGAACGTTTCGTTCTAGCCTGTAACTCTGCATCAGTACGTACTCATGACTCTATAGGGGATCGGATCCAAGACCTTTAGGTAACGATGAAAGCTCTTTTAACCACAGCCACTGGGACGAAATTTAATGACCTGTGAATTTCAACTCTTATTGATTTGCGAATTTTATAGCCTCAACACCTGGCTTGGTGCACCCCACTAGCCGCGACCCCATACTAGAACTTCAGGCGCAAGTAATTAAACTTTTGTAAGTTGTCTAGACCAACAGTTGTGTATTCTTCTATTTCCTGGTATTCTCTTCAGCTGGGTCCACGACTGCCCATAATCTCTCATCTCCTCCTCCCCAAAACACGATATCCTTCATGTCATCCTCTCACCGACGACCAACTCATCGCTTCCTATTGTGACTCCACTCGGCGGCCTGACGCTCCATAATCTCCTAAACCTGTGACCAATTCATCTCCATTTTCTCCGACATATTTGTTGAGCAATCGGCTCTTGGTTGGTTTGTTCCCAGCCTGAGTTTCTTGTAGCAAATCTTTTCCGACTGGCCATCTGATCTTCAGTTTGGAGCCAGTCAAGGCAGCTGTTGATAAAAGTCTACAACAGTCTGTTGGAAATGCTTTTCGTGATGCACACGCCAAGTTTCTGACCAGCATAGAAGAACTGACTGACTTCACATTTCCGTTGATAATCCGAATTTCGTTCTTTATGTTGACTGAGTGCAAAAGATTTCCAAACTGGTTTCAGGTTGATGAAGGTGTGTCTTGCCTTTCCGATTCTGGCTGGCTAGCTTTCACATCTTCATCCGTTCCGACTGCCTGTGGTTGAAACCATGCTTCCTAGCGGGATAAGTGGACGAAGTAACCTGTCAAATCTTTCCTGTTGATGGTGATTGGTTGTCGTTGTTATTGTTGCAACTGGTTGGTCATCTTCATCACCTCCATCTTCTCTATGGTCGCCTGGAGTCTTATCTTCGTTGACTGTCTCTTCAGCCAGTTTGTTGGTTTTTGCCTGCCTACAAGTCTTCGAGTTTGTGTGACATTAGACATATATCATTTGCGAAATCCACATCTTCCAGGGTCTTCTTATCGGTCCAACGTATTTCTGTCTTTTCACTCCCCGTGCACAGCCTGGCGCATAATCCAGTCCATCACACTTAGGTATATCATCGTTGGGGATAACAGGCAGGTAACCTTGTCTTACCGCTGTATTCACTTCAAACACCTCAGTAAGTTGTCTGTTGTGGATCACCTGACACGAGGCATTGTCATATAGCCAGCTGTTGAATGAGGTTGATAAAGACTTGAGGACAACTACATTACCGTATATTTAACAGCCTTAGCTTCATTACTTAGTGTATTTATCATTGCACTATAGCCAAGCTGCTTACTTGGAGATGAAAACTAGTGATTACATTTCCACAGTGACATAAATATAGTAAAAAAAAAACACCATTTTGATTAACACCACTCGAAACAAGTAACTAACAAAGCATAAAAGCACTATTGAGTGAGTACTCACCATTCTTTATTGACATATCGTCAAATTCTTCCTCGGAAATTTGTACATCTTGCTTTTCTGACACAGATATGATACTTTCGATTAGAGGAACTAAGAAATTTCCAACACCACAACCAACTTCCAATAGAGATCTTGGAGTTTTATTATCCAAACAGGATAATTCTACAAACTCTCGTGTTGTCCAATGACGATCCTGAATAGGAGGAATGAAAGTACAATGCGCTGTAAAAATTAAATTTTAAAAAATAGCCACCGGTAGAAACTGACACCGTGATTCAGGAGAAAATTTTATAGACAATTTCCTTACCTTGGTGATCATTATATGAATGGAAACAACTGATAATTTCCCTCTCCCCTTAAGTATTTTACAAGTTATCACTATCCTAACTATTTTATTATTCTAACTACCTCACCTTTAGTTATTTATTACACAATCAGTGTGGGCACTCATTTATTGCCTTAGTTTTTTTGTAGCCCTTTGCATTTCATGTGGAACATAAGGTACCAAGCTTTAAGCATTGAAGTCTCCGAAATGCTTGTTTTTTTTTGCAAAGTGGGGTTTCTGACCTCACGCCAACCTTCCTTCTTTTACTGGGCTTACCACCGGCTGGCGCGAGGTCTACTGTGTGAGTCAGCCAAGAAACGAACCCGGACCACGTGTGTGTGTGGTTGGCGAGCATTCTATCCCTGGAACCACAGACGCAATATGTTTTAATTACACTCATATTACTTTGCCAAAATTACGCGCTGTATACTCTACCTATTTAATTTTGAAATATATTTCTACACTTTAATTTTGGCGTTAATTTGCTTGGTTAATTATCACTTCTTTCACATACTGTGTGTTTAAAGGTCTCGACGCTTCAATGACAGAATACCCGCCAACCACGCACGTAGTCCAGAGTTCGACTCTCGGCTGACGCACTGTTAAATCTCACATAGCCAGCGGTAAGCCTGGCAAAGACAGAAGGCTTGGAGTGAAACTAGTGTACACAACCTGCAGAAAGACAACACCACCGCTACTACTGAACCGTCAAAACTGAAGCTTGTTGCAACTATATTCCACTCGGAACGCAAAGGAATGAGAAACGAACACTGAAAGACTGATTTCAACGCAGAAGTTTGCACAGATGTGCAGCAATTCGAGTCGCCACACTCTCTCCATGTAGCACACAAAGCATGAGAAGAAAGTAAAGAGAGATTCAAAAGACAGTAAACGCAAGTGTCAGTGAGGGAAAAAGAACAGTTCAGTTTTATTGGAAATGACAAGTGATAAAGAGTGAACGATTTTGAGGCATATCACCAAATGTCTCCAGCCTTCATTGGTTCTTGGCATCCTAAGGACCCCAACCAGTCAGTCAAGCAGTCTACAATTTTCTACGTTGCGACTGGCTTAAATGAACTGTTATGGATTTCGTTCACTGATGAGGCCATGTTTCGATGTGGCCACCACTAGCTTTCTCTTTTCCAACCCGATCAATCCTATTTCAGCTAACATTGCCTGTTGTCGAAGACGGCGGTCGATGGCTAGACATTCATGCGTAACACATGTCCTAACCTTCTCAGTCGATGTAACTTCACAGCCTCGTCGATTGACTTCGCCTCCTTACCTAGCACTTGACACCTAGCCTCAATATTACACCAACCACCTAACACGGGAGATTGAACTCAGGCAGCTAGACAACCTTTTGATGTCTTCCACTCTTAAAAGCCATGTCTCACTCACAGCCATAAAGGAGGGAGGAGAGAACTGTTGAGCAGTACACACGCCCGTTGGTCAAAAGCCATTGTTTAGTATGCTCGACAATACGGAATATTAGTAGTCTAATTACTTGTAGAAAGAGTTTGTAAATGCTTACCAAACGTACAAATTTGTGCTATCAAAATACCATAAACATTTTTATAACTTTCATAAAGTAAATTGATGCAGTTCATAGTATGTTGATGTACATCAAACCTCTAAGGGACTTACATAAAAATTACCATTTACATACATTAATGTACACCACAAGATTTCTCTCACCAGTAAAAAAATAAAATTAAAATAGAATACACGGAAGAGACAAGTAAGGGAGATGTAGCCATGATATTGCTTTCCTCAGCTACTATCAGCACCTTAAATTAAAAAGATAATGTCTTACACAGTGACTGGTGGTGCTAGCTAATTTGGCGACAAAACAGTCCGCACTGATATTCATTTCAGATACAGACCGTATGTTTTCAGACATTTCCATATGTTCCTGTGGAGTTGGGCACATTGACTATACCATGCGTTCGGGAAAACTATTCAGTGTGGCTAACACATGGGGGAGGAGGACGTATATGTGCTAATAGTTCGGTAACAGTACAACTGTTGAGCTCAGGACCCTCAGCCCCATTTGAGAAATCCTTCACAGTCCTATACAATATCCGATTAGGCATAACTGAAGCATCAGTGATCCGAAAAATTCAAGCCCACGTTGTGTATCCAAAAGGTGTACACACATCCAACATTTGTCTTTAGCATAGTGATTATTATCAGTCCATTTTCTCAATAATCAATGTACGATTATATTTCTTTTTGTCCAAACTTCCTCTTTTTCATGTGATCTAATCTGTGTATTCTATAGTTTAAATAATTTGTAAAATTCAAAATTTTCGAAAAGTAGTTCGCAAAATTCCGAACTAATTTGCAAACTGTGAATTTGATTTATCGTATCACCAGTTCGCCTGAGCAGCTAGCCAAAAGCCACGTGGTTTGAGCTGACTAGGCTCTTTGAGCTGAGGGTCGAACCGGGAACACCACTGATTAACTTGGCGCCCCAAACCATCGAGACGGTCTTCTGATCTGGCTAGCTAGCAAGCACTACTAGTTTCAATCAATCAGTAGTATATAGCGTAATGCATTAAATAATTTGCCTTGTTATTGCGAATTAGATTAATTTCAAAGTAGACTTCGTCAGAAACCGATACCAGTTAGAAAACCACCAAAAGCCAGGAGGTATTGGTCAGATTTGGGATTATTAAGCAACGTACACCCATAATTCCTACCAGGAATCAAACCCAGAACCTTTAGGTTACTAGGCGATATTAAATACACATTCACTTGCGCATTCTAACTTGGTGCTGAGATCTACCACCTTGAGATTGACCTTGGACTTGATACAATGATCGAGAATGCATGCAATATTACACAAAGCAAAGAATATGCAGTACACAAACTCGCGAACTCACTTTGAAAAATCGAACACCATTTCGATTATAAAAACGATCCCAATTTTTTCCCGCTTGCGAGAGAAGTTTTGTCCGTTCAAATGAAGTTACCAAAGTGTCAATTTGTTTAGTTAAAATCTTTTTCACCTCTTCATCTTCTTTTACTGAAGAATCATGACTGTCACAAGGGGAATTTTCATCGCTGCCTGTAAAGGATATATTAAAGGTGAGGGGGGGCGGTGGTTATAACGGAAAAGATAAAATTAGTTAGATTCAATGTAACTATTATGCATTAGAACAAACAACAAATGTTGTTGATAAAGGAGGATTTGGTGAATTCATGAAATTTTAGTAGAACTCTTCAGCTCAGTACCCTACACAATTATTATCATTATTATTTAAGATACAAAACTTATTACAATATGGCACCAAGGAGACGCGCCAAACATTAATATTAAAATAACAAATGAGAAAGATGGGTAGAGAATGAATAAAGGACTCCATCTGAAAAAAAAGCAGCTATATTTAACAGGACCCAACAGCACTCGTCGAATTATTGTCAGGAGGGAAAGAAACAGCGAAAGTGCAGCACGTTCGCCATTAAATAGGATTCTTGACCATATACGATAACGTTTCGAGTCACCGACTCGAGCTATCTCTCGTACCCTAAGCAGAGAGTCGTTACGCATCAACCGACGCTAACCTACCAAAAATATCCTTCATCCCACGACGCCACGTTATGGGCTGACCACCTTTTCTTTTTCCATATAGTCCCAGGGCTAGTAAACACAGTCCGGTAGGGAAGCCTCTAGGATGACATTCATAGCACACTTCCAAACCACCGAAGCCGGTGTTTCCAGAGTACAACACTCAATTAACGGTGATCTCCACTGTGTCCAAACATAGGTCACCGAACTTTGGAATTATTCACACGATGACAGCATCGAACGCAAGCAGTTCTACGGAGACACCGATGAGCGAATACCCAAAATCGCCATACATTCTCAGCTCAGAAAGACCATGTTTCACACTAGTAGAGCAAGACAGTCTACACCAAAGCATTGTATACCCAATCTTTGACGTCGCGACGGCTCCAGAGGTGGCTCAAATTAGCGTATGCCATCCTATAATTTATGATACAGTTGGAAATCTCATCTATCACAACTACGCAGATACACGAACTTATTTACATAAATATATATATATATATATATATGCTATATGGAATATATGAGGAGATATATGACTGATAGGGGAATAAACTTCAATGAACCAACCATACAAAAAGACAAGTGCGAATGTTTTACAGGTCATGTTCAAATATATGATGGTGAAGAGGTATGACAGATTAAAATTCAGATAATAATGGATTACGGTTTAGTTACACTAGTTAAATGAACAATTTAACTATCAGACAAAGAACCTTAAAACGTCAGGAATTTCAAATGGAATAATAGCACTTCATATAACGAGTTAAGATAATTGTAATAACATAGAACAGTTTTAAATGTCTCAAGGATACCAATAAGAAATGGAATAATAATGATAATAATAGAAGATACTACCGCGGCAGATTCAAAGTGACCATCATATCCTTTTGTACACAGAGACCGGATGTTTCTAAGCTCCAATTGCACGAGTCTCTGCAAATATCTATTGTGAACTTAAACACAGTTGGGAGACGATACATGGGCTTAAGTGATTTTTCAAGTGATATTCAAACCCAATTCGATCAAGTTAAATTGTCTAGCAAACGCACACTAGTCGTTGTATAACGAAACCTACTATTATTATAGCGCCACTATGAACGCTGTTTACGAACTGAGGTGCGAATTTCATCTCGATCTCCTTTTCAAGTACCATTTGGACAAGTGTGCTGATAGCTCGTTAGGGTTGATAGGAGGTTTTATTTTTATTATCTGAATTTTTCCAGTAAATAGTTGCCAATCTCACTAATCGAACCCATACTAATTCAATCAAAGGCTTTTAGGGAAGGCGGAAAAACAGGATAAGAGCGATAAATAGGTCACAAAAAGAACTCATCTTCAGTCACCTCGATGAATACATGTACAGTAACTGGTTAACCTAAAAACTAATACTCCTCATTATAATTGGGCGACATTTTTAAGTCACGTCAAGGAAAAATATATATTGTTTAATGTGTTTTAAAATTATTCTCTACACTTCTCTTGTGAATAAACGTTATTTTTATGTAAAAACCACTGGTTTTTCTGATTGGTCGCCTCATAGTCAGTCATGCGTTCGCATTCCATGGACTGTTATAGATTAACTTTGCCCCCGATTCTGTCTGGATTCAACACAGAACTTGGCACCGAAGTGCAGCAGTTCGTTGCCACGTTCCAAAGAGCACACAAAGCTGGACAAGAAAATGAGTGAAGAGGATCAATAGAGTTTTGACAAGTATAAGAGTGAAACAGAATGAGTAATGGTAGAAAGGAATATGAAAGATTACAGAGACTGAATACATCTGCGTAAGCCATTGACAACGATTTTGAGCCATGTCACCTATTGTCTCCAACCATTGATTCTTAGAGTCCCGAGGGCCCCAACCCGGGAGTCTGCATCTCCTTACCTGACTCAGTTTAACTGTCAAGGATTTCATGGATTGATTGATGCCATGTTTTTGTTTAGCCACCACTTACTCTTTTCCAACCTGCACCTATATCAGCTAGTAATGCCCTTCGGGGGAGGCGATGGTTAGGCATGCCCCCGATTCAGCCTACTTTAAGATGACTGATTTTCAACCTCAATAGTTTTACTTTGATAAAATATAAGCAGGTAAAGGAAACTATAAAAAGCAATGTGTTCGCAGTTCGTCTTCTTCATTTAAAAAAGTATGGTAAGTAAAGAGTTGATTGGTTACAGGATTTCATCATGAGCTGATATTGGTTAGAGAACCATTGGAAAACGAGCTGAAAGTACTGCCAGACAGCCATTTCGCCCTAGTTTGCGACTCTTAGGCAGTAGGCACCCACCGATAGAGTTCGAACCCAGGATCTTCTGTTTACAAGGCGAGCTCGTAGACCATTCAGTCACTGGGCCCCGATCCAATGGCCCACCCATGAATTCTAACCCCTGCCAATCCACGACATAGCGCGACCACTAGCCAATGTCTTCGGCGAGTATTTCTTCGCACACGCGACCTGCTGCACCCTACGGGTCACGACCTGGGTTCGAACACCGGTAGGTGCGCAGTTATGAAGAGTCCGGAACTAGGACGAAACGACTGTCTGGTAGTACTCTCAGCTCATTTCCCAATGGTTCTCTAACCAATGTCAGCTCATGATGAAATCCTCTAACCAATCAACCAAACTGGAAGATATGCAAGCGAAAAGCAACAAGTTGGCAGAAGAAGCATCAAAGTTAGAAAGGACTTCGGGTGAACATGAAGATTTCTGGGCAACACCAACAGCAACAACAGACAGCGATCAGCATAAATGGGAGGAACCTGCAAGAAACAAGCTCCGCTACCACCTAACTTGGAAGCATCGTTTCAACTACAGACGAAACTGACGAGGATATCAAAGCAAGAATCGGAAAAGCAAGACAAGCTTTCACTACTCTCAAGTCTGTGTGGAGGTCAACAGCCCTACTCAGCATGAAAACGAAGGTAAGATCCGGATTTTCAACTCCAATGTAAAGTCAGTGCAACTTACTGTACGGATCAGAGACTTGCACTGCGCGTCATAAAGAGCATCTCAAACAAACTACAGACCTTCATTAACAGTTGTCTTCGCTTAATACCACTCAAGATCAGATGGCCAGGAAAGATCAGCAACGGGGTGGGATCTCTGGGAACAAACCAACCAGGAACTAATTGTGAAACAAATAGGCAGGAAGAAATGGAGATGGATTGGACATACTCTGAGGAAACTTTCAAGTGACATCACTAGACAAGTCCTCGAGTGGAACCCGAAAGGGAGGCGGCGAGTTAGTCATTCAAGGGTGACTTGGAGGAGGTGAAGAGAAGATAAAAGTATGTGGGCAGGCTTGAAGCCAGGTGAAAACTCTAGCAGAGAACCGAACGCAATGGAGACGCGCCACTGAAGCCCTATGTTCCTCTAGGAGTTAAAGAAAACAATAATAATAATCAACGAAATCCCTACAAACCAATACTTGAAAGAGTTGATTGACAGCTATTAAACTTACTCAGTGAACTATCATCATCATCATCTTCTGTTTCTTGTTCGTCACAATCCTCGGATGATTCAGAACAACTAGACCTAGACAAATCGAATTTAAACATTCATCAATAAACCAACAAACTTTGAAGATTCAGCATTCAACTCTTCATCCAATTCATTATACACATCAGCGTATGATTCTACAAAAATGCATAAATTCCATGGTTAAAGCTGGACTGTAATTATTGATTGCTTACTTGAGTTATTACTACTATTAGTATTATCGTCTTTATTTACACGAGTTATTTGTTTCAGAAAATGATCTTGTAGGCTCAAAATTTCTTTACTTGTTGTACACTCTGAATAGGATTGTAATCGATGATTATTCAGTGTTAGAAATTGATGACCCCAGGAAAATTTATCCAACAATTCACTGGCTTGATCTTGTTTGCCTAGAATGTAAAGACCAGCGGCTAGTGCTTCAACACATGATAATTGGAATGGTTTTCCATACTTGACTGGATTAGAAGCTATCAAAAGCGGTAGTAAACGTCCATGATGGAATTTCAACTACAAAAATATATAAACAACAAAAAGTACATCTACAAAATAATAATGACATGATATATTCATAAATAAAATTCACACTGTAACGACAGAAGAAAAGGGCCAGGCAACAGATCTTCTATTGAGAAAACCAAAAGATATTCTTACATTTTTATGTACATTATTATTAGCGTTATCGTTAGTAGAGGAGCAACGTCTTCTGATTGTTTGTTTTCCTACTGAACGTTATTCTGTCATCTCTTTGTTGCCGTTTTTTAGACAGTCCGGTGATATATCTGCAAATCGTATCCGCCCACGCTAAGTATGCTGTGATTGGTTGTTGAGTTCCTCAAGGTTAGGCTTTGATCTTGTTTTCTCTCCTGACCCCAATTCACGACGCAAACGCTGACGTATATTGGTACCTACTACTTTGGCTAGCAGACACCCAACTAACAAATTCAGTTTCAACAGAGAACCTTGTAGAGACGTACAGCTGTTCAACTTACCATAATCGATGTATGACATACATACACAGACTCAAAAGTGCTGTAATAAGCAGAACTGTACGAGAGAAGGACTACTAATATGAGAAAAGCATGAATATTTAAAGAATAAGAATGACTACAAAAGGTGAATGCATCTGCACCACCGAGAACGACTTCCAATCAGATCACCAATAGTCTCCAGCCATTGGTTCTTAAAATCATGAGGACCCCAGCCAGGCAGTTTACACCACCCTACGTGGTGTAAACCAGTTCCCACAGACTTCATAGATTAGTACCAGGTTTAATTTTGATCACTCTGAACTCTTTCCCAATCCAACCCTATGTCAGTTAACATTGCTCGTTGGAGATGGTGATGGCTTTTCGTACGCAACGCTTGTGCTAGCTATCTCAACCCATATATCTTTACAAGCTGAATGACTGGTTGATCATTCTTAAACCAACATTCTACGTCAAACGTTGTTATTGCTCTCCCTAACCTACTTGCCTAACTAAGTAAGAAGGAACAATAAGTGTGAAGTGTTGATGACAGTAGTATCCTACCTTCCATGCAACATTAGCTTGCAGTTCTAGGCTTCATATATGAGAATAACATGTAAACGCTGTTCTATATATACCTATTTAAGTTAGAAATATTTGATTACACAACAAGGTTTCAACATATAACTTTGTACAGAAGTGAACTGGGTTCATGTTGTCACACCCTATGTAACCCACAAAGCCAGAGAAAGGGGAGAGAAAAGACGTTGTAAAGAAATTTCTGGGAGGAAAAACAGCAACGTGGAAAAACATTTAATGATAATAATAATTTGCTTTATTCCAAAACAGTACTTGTGATACAGAATGGAATTCTCAGCATTTTTACTACAGTATTGCATCCAGTTAGTACATTATCAATAAATAGAATTCTACATAGATTAAGGAAATCTCAGTTCATTATGACAACAACATATTGGCATGTCGGTAGCAAAGCCAAAGCTGAACAGTGTTTGAAGGTGTTAGAAAAGTAGGTGCTGTCATATTTACTGGCGTAAGCGGAAGAAAGAAACAAAGCAGCACATAACGGAAAAAGAGAGAGAGAAAAGGAAAAGAAAGAAAGAAAATGTTGTACCTATAAATGATATGAGTTGGAAAGACGAGGTCCAGTTGTTCTACTGACTATTTAATGAATTATAGGTGTCACGCCTAATGCTTTCTTTATCACACAGAACACGAGCTAAGTAGGGTATGGTTGAGTTTTTGTACTTGCTGGTGCGAGCATATAGTTTTCTATATAGGCTTCTGGTTTTGCCTGATGAGATGCAAGGGGAGAGTTGTGAGTGAAGAGGGTGGTGTGAGTTAGATAAAATGGATTTGGCCCATTTTTCACATGAGTCCATGTGCCTGTCAACCAGAATATTAACAAGCTGGTTAAGTGGCACGTTGCTTACCCTGCTGACAACCTTTAACATCCTGCGTAATATGTTATAGTCTTTCTTCAGTAGCCCGGGAAAAACTAAGGGGGAACAATAGAGAATAATAGGCAGAATGCGAGAGTTAACGAATCGTAAGAGTAAGGGTTGGGTTATTCCAGAATGTTTTAACTTCTTGATGTAGAAGGTAAGACGGAATATTTTCTTAGAAATTGCTAAGATATGAGACGACCAGGAGAGATCAGCAGATAGAATGACACCTAGGTATTTAATTTCCGACTTGGTTTCTATTTCAGTGCCATCTATGTTGCATACCTCGTGAGAGCCAACCAGTTTGTTTAGGTCGGATTTATGCCTAAAGGTGAAATTGACTGTTTGGCATTTGGAGGGGTTTAAGGTAAGACCGTTTTCCTTGGACCACTGGCTGATTTCTGACAGAAAGCCATTAAGTTTAGAGCAGTCACTTTGACATTTGACAGGCAAAGATACTGTCAGGTCGTCAGCATATTTGACAAAATTGATGTCATTTGAAGATGGTAAGTCATGTAGAAAGAAAGAAAAGAGAAGTGGGGAGAGTACAGCACCTTGGGGGACACCAGCTTCAGTGAGCACAGCAGAGGAGGATTTACCTTTGTATACGGTGTACTGCATTCTGTTAGAGAAGTAGGAATGCAACCAGTTAGTGACCCAGGACTCAGTTTTTGTCATAGAGAGCTTATTTAGCAAGAGACATCTAGGTACAGAGTCGAAAGCAGAAGTGAAGTCGAGAAACGTGCAGCGGACGTATTTGGCACCTTTATCTAATGATGAGACGATACTGTTGTGTAAGACGGCTGCAGCGTCTAAAGTGCTCCTACCCTGTCTATAGGCAAATTGTTTGGGGTCTTCAAAGTTTTAAGGGAGGGTTCAAGTTTAAGAAGTACTAGTTTTTCCATAAGCTTTAGAAACGGGGAAGTGATGGCAATGGGTCTGAACTTTACGTTCTTGCTGTTTCCAGGTTTAGGGACAGGGACTATTTTAATGTCTTTCCATGCATCAGGTACGACATTTTTGGAGAAAGAAGCATTTAGGATGTTAGTTAGTGGAGAACATAAAGCATCTGCACATTGTTTTAGAACATATGCAGGTATACCATCAGGGCCAAGGCTACGTGAGGGCTTGAGAGTTTTAAGACATTTTAGAACATCGAGAGCATTAAAGTCATGAAAGTTATCAGCTACATGATTGGTAACATTAGAAGTAGTTATAGTAGAAGGACAGCGTATAAAAGACTGATTAAGAGCATTAACATCATAAGAGGGAAAAGCATTACAACGCTTACTATTGCCAGTAATTTCATTCAAAAGTTGCCACATGCTGATAGGAGATTTGCATGATAAAAGTGTGTCGTTGTAGATAGCATTACGATTTTTGAAGGTTCAATGGATATGGGAAATTACAAATAGTGAATGCATCTGCACAAGCCATTGAGAACGATTTTGAGCCATATCACCAATTGTCTCCAGCCAGTGTCATTGTTTTTTACCATACCGAGGACCCCAACCGATCACCTCCATACGTAGCCATTAGCTTAAATGAGTCTTCTGTATCCGTGCTCAGATTTCGTCAGCGATCAACCCATTGGCGTTGGCTGATGCAACTTTGCAAAATAAGTGATGTGGTCAACGCACTAAGCAACCACTTCACTCCATATCTTTACGCTAGGAGTGAGTCGATGTAGTACAGTTCAGCCCTGTAAAATCGTCTTCCATATCACAGGAGCGAGTCGTATCCCAAACATTCGAAGACTGTTGCTCCTCAAGGTGTTCAGAAGACTCTGCATTTCATCAGTCAGCGTCTTCGCTTAGGAGGACTATATCATTCAAATATATTCTAAGTTAATGAGATTATTCTCTGGTGGTACCAAGTCCACCCGTGAGTCGCTGAAGTCAGTCATTTAGGGTTAAGTCCATTAGTACAATATCTATGATGAAATGAGAGAGAGATGGGGACAGTGGGCATCCCTAACGGACACCACTGCTTGTCATCACTTCAGATGCCTTGATCAGTCAAGAAATGATTTTTCCTCCCTAACACTCAATGCTATCCCTACACTTGCGAATCCTCGTGAACTAACTGAGGAGTCTCCTGACACCCCTAAGGTGAATATTGCAGATCCACCTTGTTGGCCGGGTGGGGTTAAATGAATAACCACAATCGGGTCTTGTATGTGTGTCTCATTTGTTGTAAGAATAGTGGTATTTTTAGAGATTAAGGGAATATGAATAAGATGCCCGTTAGGTGCAATACAAATACAGTATGGATCAAAATCGTTCTCACTTTTTGTGATGTATAATATCCAATAAAATTCTTTAAGTCTTTCGTATTACTATTCTTTTTACCTCACTGACACTTCTGTTTATTATCTCTGTATTGAATCTCTCTTTACTCTCTTCTCGTGCTGTGTGCTACATGGAGGGAGAGTAGCAACTGGAACTGCTGCACATCTGTGCGAAGTTCTACGTTGAAACCAGTCAGTCAGGAGCATGTTATGGACTGTAGTACATCAAGAATCCACGTTCATATGCACGTTCCGATCTTAACGATTCTATCTTATTAAAAAACACTAATGTTATCAACAACAACAGCAACAACTGTATGTCAAGTATTATGAATTTGTAACTGTACGACCTGGTGAAGTTATCAGAAAGATTGTTCACAAATCAGTGTTTTGGAATTATTTTATTTTGCCTTATTGTACTGTATGCTTTCCTAATTTCACCTATAAGTGAGTTGGCTGATATAAATGCCATGCTGTGTGCAGCCTTACTAAAAACCCTACACAGGGATCCTGATGTTTCTTTTAGTTATTAGTGCTGGATCACTGTATTACATCAAATAAACTCATGTAACATGAAACATGCGTCGGTGGCATAGCGGTTAGGACGCTCACCGACCATGCACATGGTCCGGGGTTCGATCCCCGGCCGACGCACTCCTTTAACTCGCTAAGCCAGAAATAATGCTGGTGAAGAGGAAAGGTTGGGCATGGGGCTAGCAACCCCATCCTGTAAAAATAAACACTGCTACAGAAACTTCAAGCCACAAGCTTGAAGCCCTATGTTCCACTGGGGAACGTGAAGGAAAAAAAAACATGAAACAATATTCTGACATAGTATTGAAATTACAATTTTACACTAGTTACATGTGATTGTATAAACAGAACCGTATTCCGACACAACTAGTTGGGAAAAGAGCCAGTGGTGGTCAAACCAAAACATGGCTTCATCAGTCAATGAAATCCACAACAGTTAGTTTAAGACAGCCGCCACGTTAGGAGATGTAGACTGCCTGGTTGGGGTCCTCAAGATGGTTAGAGCCAATGAAGGCTGTAGACAATTGCTGATGTGGCTTAAAATCGTTCTCAATGCCTGGTGCAGATGCATCCACTCCTTGTTACTTATAATTTCCAATGAAACTATATTGTTCTTCGATATTACTATTCTTTTTTGCCTCATATCTCTGTTCACTGTCTCTGTTTTGCGTTTCATTTTACTTTCTTCTTTGGCTTTGTGTGCTGAGTGATGTGTGCCGACTTGAACTGCTGCACATCGGTGCAAAGTTCTGTGTTGAAACCAGACTGACAGATAGACAGTCGGGATCAAGTGATTTCTCTGTTAAATGATGATATACTTATTTAAACTACCCAGCGTCCTACTATCGGAATTTGAAAACAACAAATCAAACAACTCGTTGAAAGAAGATAGATCGATGAATGAACTTAGATAATGCAAAGAATAGAGTTTAACTAAATAAAATCAAGGGATAATTGTATTGTCAATATCACGCCAGATTGAATCAACGTACCTTGTTGAATCCAGTGTCTTCCAGCTTTGCCCATGAACAATCAACTACAGCAATACCACCATTTTGTAATATCTGACAATCAGTTTCTGGAGATAAGACACACGTCGCAGTTGGTGTTAGTACAATGCCTCCAAAACTTTCGTTTAACCGCAATAGTTTGATCATTCCCAGACGAGCCAATTTACGACCTGAACAACGTTTAGGATCGCATTGTTCAAAGTCCCACATAGCTGTGATAATTCTATCTGGAATATCTACTTCACAATACTTAGGTGATATCAAACATACCTTCATTTTCTGATTTACCGGGAGAAAGTTGTGATTCGGTCTTACGACTGTGGGTTTTGGAATTTGATGGGTATTTCCGTTTGTTTTTCATAACAAGAGGATACAAAAACTTCTGACTAGTGTTACCTAAAATTTAAAAAAAGTGGAAACAGCAGGGAAAAAAGAGTCGAAGAAGGATTACATAAACGCAAATTAAGCGAGTTTTATAAGTAGATAGTTACAAAATGAGCAAAATAAATATTTTTCACGACACATTTATTATGTTCATTGTACTAAAGGTATATGAGTTGACAATTCATTCACTGGGAAGGAGGATTCTGTATTCCACCTCCAGTCATGATTAGCAAAAAAACTATCTCTACCTAGAACTGTTTTGGCAGTTAAGTAATAAAGTAAATCCATTGAAAATCTGCAGCTCATTTCTTGGTTAAACAAAAAAAGACCCTGTATATTGTCGCCAAATTGTGTTCAATGCTTTTACTAATAAGTTATATCGACTGTTACACGTGCAACTCATATTCGGTCGGTCGGTCGGTTTTCGACATAGAACTTTGCACATATGTGCGGCAGTTCAAGTCGCCACAATCTATGTAGCACACAAAGCAAGAGAAGAAATGCATAATATAGACAGTAAACAGAGGTGTGAAACAAAGGAATAGTAATAACGAAGAACAAAACAGTTTAATTGGAAATCATAAGTCACAAGGAGTGGATGCATCTGCGCCACTGAGGACGATTTTGAGCCATATCACCAATTGTTTCCAACCATCGGTTTTTGCCGTCCCGAGGACCCCAACCAGGAAGTCTACACCTTCCTACGTGGCTTAGACTAACTGTTGTGGATTTCATTGACTGGTGCCATGTTTTCGTTTGACCGCCGCTAGCTCTTTTCCAGCCTGACCCTATATCAGCTAACATTGCCCGTCGAGGAAGGCGATGACTAGGTATACGTAACACATGCCCTAATCATCTCAGTCGATGTAATTTCACCGTTTCGTCGATTGATTTCCCCGCCTTACCTAGCACTCGACGCCTATCCTCAATATTGCTCACCTTATTATACCACTTCACACGGGAGATAGAACGCAGACACCTATGATCGAAGGCAGCTAATCTTTTCATGTCTTCTGCTCTCAGTGGCCAGGTCTCAGCCATGAAGGAGGACGGAGCGGACTGTTGAGCAGGACACACGCCCTTTGGTCATTTAAGAACAGAATCAATTTAAACATGATTGAGGATTACACACTGTATCAAATATACTACTTAGAATATAGCCAATATTACTACTAATAAAATAATAATACACTGTAAAAAAAAATAAATAAATAAAATCAGTAAACTACACCGATAACTATGTTTATTCACCTGTAAATCAGAAGTTGATTTTATGTGAAAAACAGCACTTCAACTTACCGAAACATATAAGAGCCAAGTATTTCTATACTGACTAGTGGAAATGTAGCTAATCAATCGACTTAGACACTCAATTTCCAGACTGTGTTCCTGGTTCGAACCCCATCCTATGTACATCGGCTGGCTTAAGAAGCTAGGAAGTATAATCAGAACATACACACACATTCACTGAGGTTTATAGTCTGATACACAAGAAACCTGTTGCATGTAACTGACTTATAACTACACGACCTGTTAACTATTGACTGAATTACATGAGCCAACCAGTCACAAGCAACAAGACTTTATCACTAGTTGAGGAAAGCCTCTACACTGTTGTATATGCGGAACATGTCACGTTTTTTTCGCACAACTAGACACTAGATAGCAGTTTTAATCCCTAAGTGAAAGCTCCCGACCGAAAGCTGCTACCTTGACGTGGTGGTCGGGCTTGAACACCGCAATGACCCAACAAGCTATACTGGCTGGAACTTATGTTCCTGCAGGTCCTACCATGCCAGAAAGGTTGTTTGGATAGCGGTTAGACTAAAAGCAGTTACCCAATCCAATCCTATGACTTCAAATAAATCACAAAATATTATGCCGGATCGGTCGGGGCCCGGATTAACAACGACCGCGCTTTCTGCTGCCGTGTCACAGGGTAGAAGTGATAAATACGCTACTGAGACACACCAAATGAAAAACAACAAACAAAAAACAGGCCGTGTGTGACCGGCCTCAAGCAGTTGTCCCCTGGGCTCTGCGGACACGCAACCAAAGAAGTGAAAGCTACGTGCTTTGCAACCACTAAAAACTGTCTTAAGTAGGCCTGAAAGTGAGTAAGATTCAACACAAAAATTTGCATTTAGATAAAACAGTAAGAAGACGTCATTTGTCTGAATCATGTATTGTGTATTTGCGCAACACACATTTCGAACAATCTGATTACACACACACACACGGACTTGTCATAGGAATATTGATATGAAATCAATAAAGAGTTAAGATGTGAGGAAATAGACAAGTTAGGTCAAGTCAAAAGGACATATTAAAGGTCAAAATAACAATGAAGACCACCAAACCAAATAACAGAGGTAATAGTATATCTGCTATGGTTTCAAAAAATTTACCAAGGAAGGTTCAATGTGATCACAAATTGTTTTTGAAAGCATAGAGGTGGTTAAAACTTTCTAATTCCCAGCTAGGGCTTCCACAAACTTTAGGATACGCCCCAAACACGTTTTATAGATAGGTTGAAAAGATATGCTAACGTCAATTTTATGTCCTGTTTCGCGACAGAGGAGCTAGGTCTCCTGTTCTCACCAATAATGGGTTCTGAAGATTCCATTTGTTTCTGGAGCCATTTAGGAATATGCTCTGAAGCCCTTACTTGCAGAGATGTGCAGCAGTTCCAGTTGTCACTCTCCTTCCATGTAGCACACAAAGCATGAGAAGAGAGTAAAGAGAGAGACAATAAACAGAAGTGTGACTGAAGGAAAAAGAATAGTAATATAAAAGAATAGAATTTTATCGGATATGATAAATCCCAAAGAGTGGAAGCATCTGCGGTGTCATTGAGAACGATTTTGAGCCATATCACCAATAGTATCCAACCAATGGTTCGTGGCATGCCTAGGACCTCAACCAGACAATTTACATCCCCCTCTAAGTGGTTTTGATTTGACCACTCCTAATTCTTTTCCTACCTAACCCTATGTAAGCTAGTATTGCTCACGTCCAAGCTTACCACCTAAAATGTTAGCACTTAAATGCAAACGTAGTCACAACTCTGGAAAGCCTCGTTGTTGATATGTGGTCCATCTCAGAGACCGACATACAACTCAGGTAAGTACTTTGAATAAATTCTGCATCGCCGAGCCCAAATAGTGTGCTTCTCCACAGATCCTATAACATTGAAGTTCTTCTTAGCTGGTGTCCGCATCGCACTAAGCACTAGGACAGAGGCCCCACCACTCAACTGCATCCGCATCAACAGTAGTCTATATGCCATTAGGTTAGGTTATATAACAGTACATGATAATCAGTCACAGAAGTGTTACTTCTACACCATTCCCGCTTACGCAACGACCAATTATAGCTCTAACGTAATAACATACTTATTCTAGCACCAGATCGCTTCAAGTTATCAAGCTTGATAGACACAGATGACAACTGTGGACTTGAGTGAACAGGCCTGGTACATGCCCATAGAGACAGGATGATTGCTATTCAGATCACGTGGACTATCCGCTTCAGATTGGGACTTATTTCTAAATACTACGAACATCTCCACAACCGTCGTTATGATGCCATCTAACAACCTTCCTCTCATACTCAGAAATATCACATGGATGCATATTCGACTGCTGGTCCTTCTGGAGAAATTTTCTGGACCAAGATGATTTCTTCAGTGTGTCCCACAGTTATCTTGAGTTCTGATTCGTGATTTTGAATGTCGTACTAAACAGATTGCATATGTCTAACACACACATATATCAAACCGGGCTCGAACACTAGTTGCAGTGATAAGACGCCACAATGATTGCAAGTAATGCCACTCGTGGCTAGGAAGAATGTCCTACGAGATACCCGTTACGTAATTGACTTCAACATAGTGAGAACTTAATGAATAAGAGCAGATTTCGCATGCGACATGCATTGAGCTACACCTACTGTGTGAGGATTGGTGCGTACGCAATCAATCTGGACGGAAGGAAGGTTTCGAACTGGTTGAAAAAAAAACATGCTTTAAAGTGAATGGGACAGTGCCTATTCATTCAAACCAATTCGTCATTGCCGAGCGAATTCCAAGTACCTTCATCAACTATAAGTAATAGACAAGAAAAGAAAACGCAGGCGCGCTTTGACAACCGAGAGGCACTTTTTACGTTGTGAAGTAACTTCTGCTTTTGTTTTTTAAATAGCATCAGAAGCTTTTAAGTTCACTTTCACTAACTTATTTACTTGAAGTGTTGTTCATTTCATTCACATCTTGTGTTTTTGTTTGGTTTTTACCTCACTGCTTTTACGTATACATATTTGTGTAGTTTAAACAAATTACAGAGTTATGAGCCGGTGGACGACCGGACTGCCACTTTCCGGTGGATGATGGGATGTAGTGTGCCAACTGCAGCCTACGGTTCCACAAAGTTTGCACTGGTTCATCACCAGTAGCCTATAAGAGATGTTCCAAGCTGTCTTCTCCGTCGGTGTGCAAATTTTGCAGTAGCCTGTTGGATTTCCCCATCCAAGAGGCAGTAGAACTTCTTATGTCCAAGAAATTGGTGAAAAACCCAGTCGAAAAGCCTGCATGGGAAATCGATGCCAAGGATGGCGATTCAGGACTTAGTCATAAAAATGATGCTGTATCACACGTTGAAGTGTTAGATACAAAAAAGAAGCACAGAGTGCCCAAAAATCTGCTGTGGCAACCCGTAGAAAATTAAAAAGTCTAAAAGGGCAAGTAGTGCCAGCATGGTAATACCAGTTGGTGAAACAGCCACGCCAAAGCGCAGTGTCTAGTGTACGACTGGCTTCTAGCTGCAGCGAAAACAAAGTGGAAGAAACCGACTCCACTTGGTTGGTGCCAACGAGTAAGAAGCTAAATAAACGTAGGAAAGGAACAGTAACCGGGCTTACTAGCAAGGTCTCGACGTCTGTTGATACCAAGCAAACTCCGAAACCTACGGACTCTAGTTACAGTGTCATCATCTGGAACTTACAGGAATCTAAAAACGCAGATCCAGCTGCCCGCCATGCAGATGATCTGAAGGCGGTTAGCTCCATTATTCGGGAAATACTTCCCGAAAAATCAAGTGGAGTCAACATAAGAAAGGCCATCAGGATCGGAAAGCGAAATCCTGATGCTATGGGAACATCTCGACAACTACTTAAGATAGTCTTAGGGAGCGAGATAGAGAGGAACACCATCCTTGACGACGCGTTCAAAATCAAGGATAAAAGTTTAAAAATAAGGCTTGATTGGCCGTTAGGAGGTAGAGACGAGAGAAAAGAAGCCGTAGCTGAACTAAAGGCCAGGCCAGGGAAAGGAGAAAAAGACCTCAAGCTACTGGGTTTTCGGGTGGTGAGGTCTCGGGAACCGATGTTGCCGAGACCTCTCTCTATAAGCTGGACATAGGTGTTTCATTGTGCTATACGAACGCGAGGATTACCTGAAAGACTACAACGTGATGTGATTGCTATCACTGAGACATGGTTGTTAATGGGGGTAGACTTAACTGCACTCATACCTGGGTACAACTGCATTAGAGCGGACAGAGTAATTAGTCAGAAAGATGGCCCGATGGACTTCACCCTAAACTGTTAATTTCCTTGGCGGATATAATATACATTCCACTTACGGAGATTTTCCGAATGTTTCTGACCCAAGCTAAGTTACCGAAGAACTAGAAGGGTATCGTTATGAGCCCTATCTTCAAAGAGGCGAACAGGCAATTGGCATCTAACTACCGGCCGGTAAATCTGACATGCATTATAGCAAAGGTATTGGAAACAATTATAAGGGATCAGCTAATAGCTCATGTGGAAAAACATGGCTTGCTGGCGGTCGACCAGCATGGATTCCAACCAGGACGATCCTGTCTGACAAACCTACTATTGGTTAGGGAAGACTGGATTGAGGTCAGAGATAAAAACCTTCTGTTGAACGCAATTTCATCGATCTTAGTAAGGCATTCCACTGGATACTACTTTCTATCCTGACAGCACACCGTTAACTCTAATCTTCTGCCTTCTATCCATTAGGTAATCCCTAAACCACTCACATAGACATTGGTCTGGTCCGAAACCTTTAGGTTTATTAAGGAGACCTAAATGGGATACTTTATCAAATGCCTTACTAAGATCGATAAAATCGCGTTCAACAGAAGGTTTTTATCTCTGACCTCAATCCAGTCTTCCCTAACCAATAGTAGGTTTGTCAGACAGGATCGTCCTGGTTGGAATCCATGCTGTTCGACCGCCAGCAAGCCATGTTTTTCCACATGAGCTATTAGCTGATCCCTTATAATTGTTTCCAATACCTTTGCTATAATGCATGTCAGACTTACCGGACGGTAGTTAGATGCCAATTGCCTCTTCGCCTCGGCTTATAACGATACCGTTCTAGTTCTTCGGTAACTTAGCTTGGGTCAGAAACATTCGGAAAATCTCCGTAAGTGGAATGTATATTATATCCGCCAAGGAAATTAACAGTTTAGGGTGAAGTCCATCGGGCCATCTTTCTGACTAATTACTCTGTCCGCTCTAATGCAGTTGTACCCA